TATATAAATACATTATATATATAAAAAATATATAATATATATGAATAAATATTTATATTTTAAATATATATAATAAAAAATATATAAAAATATATAATATATATATAAAAAAATATTTGTCTAATATATTTATATGTATATGTTTTTATCACTTATTTTGAATACCCTTAATACTAACAGAATCAAATATTTTACATAAAATGAAACAAAAACATAATTAAAAAAGAAAATATGCGCCTTAAGCACTTAGTACAAAAAAACTGATATTTGAATGTTTTCTTTTAACGCTTTTCTTCTGTTCGTTTGCAGTGCCTTTTTCCAGTTTTCTTCCCTCCTAAGCGAATAACAAAAACACAAACACCATGGACGCCATCAAGAAGAAGATGCAAGCGATGAAGCTTGAGAAGGATAATGCCATTGACAAGGCAGATACCTGCGAGAATCAAGCTAAGGATGCCAACTCCCGCGCCGACAAACTCAATGAGGAGGTGCGCGACTTGGAGAAGAAATTTGTTCAGGTTGAGGTCGATTTGGTCACCGCCAAGGAGCAGCTGGAGAAGGCCAACACCGAATTGGAGGAGAAGGAGAAACTGTTGACCGCCACGGAGTCCGAGGTAGCCACCTTGAATCGTAAGGTGCAACAGATTGAGGAGGATTTGGAGAAATCTGAGGAGCGCTCAACCACCGCACAACAGAAGCTGTTGGAGGCCACACAATCGGCCGATGAGAACAACCGTATGTGCAAAGTATTGGAGAATCGTTCCCAGCAGGATGAGGAGCGTATGGATCAGTTGACCAACCAATTGAAGGAAGCCCGCATGCTCGCTGAGGATGCCGATACCAAGTCCGATGAGGTCTCCCGCAAGCTGGCCTTCGTTGAAGACGAGCTCGAAGTGGCTGAGGATCGTGTCCGCTCCGGTGAATCCAAGATCATGGAGTTGGAGGAAGAACTGAAGGTGCATACAACGCAGAAATTCTCTTTCTTTAGATACTAAAGAACAGTTCATCTCAAATATAGGTTGTCGGCAACTCGCTGAAATCTCTGGAAGTGTCCGAGGAGAAGGCCAACCAGCGCGTTGAGGAATTCAAGCGCGAGATGAAGACCTTGTCCATCAAGTTGAAGGAAGCCGAACAGCGCGCCGAACAGGCTGAGAAGCAAGTCAAGCGCCTGCAGAAGGAGGTCGACAGGCTAGAAGGTATGTCAATCTTTAATCAAACTATAACTCCACATTATATATTCTCAAACCAAATCGGTGCGCCAATGAGATGCGCCTGCACCTGCCCTATACACGATATGTAAATATCGCATTCAAGTTCTAAAAACTCAAGCTTCAACTAATGCGAACAGTCTAAATATATATATATATATATATATATATATATATATATATATATATATTTATATCAAATACTATAATGTACATATGTTGATTATCCACATAATACACGCTGCTTTTATTAATTGTACATATGTAATATAATTATAAAATAAACAACAAATGCTTTTTGCAGACCGTCTCTTCCATGAGAAAGAAAAGTACAAAGCAATCTGCGACGATTTGGACCAGACATTTGCTGAACTTACTGGATATTAAAAAACAAACAAGAAAAACCAATTGCCAAACAGTTCCCATAATGACATACACACGCACGCACACACTGACATACACCCAAATTTACAGACTAGCAAATGTATTCCCCTATCATATATCATAATCCCAACTTTTGGACTCTGTGCAGATCAGTCACAATTTACACTGTAAATAATTTGTATAGTCTTGTGGTTGCTCTCCAACATACCACCCAGCCCTAAAGATAATCTTACACTGTAAAAAAAGAAACAGTTCCACTCTCAATATGCCAACTGTAGTTATTTATGCTTTCGAAACAACAGGTGATTTCCGTTATGTTTAATATATATATTGAAAAAAATAAGTTTCTGTTCAGTGCAAAGTTATTTTCTTTTGTTCAATGTGGCATGTTCGATTGTCTTGCCTACCCAGACACAAAAACAAGCCCAACTTTCGACTATACTATCTGTGCAGCTTCTTTGCTGCTCATCTCTCATTATCTAGACTTCAGTTCGGATAGCTTTGGTCCAGGCTCTACTTGACAGACGTTGCATACTCACTCATGTAGCTCAGTTTCTGGTCATCAAACGCTCTTTCATCACACACTTAGAAGTTCATGTTCCACCCAAGTCCACTCTAGACACCTGACTCAGATCCAACCTGCATTTCTTTATGTAAATTAAAAATACTAATTGAATAAGAAGACATTTATTTATGTAAACGCTTGTAAACGGCGCAAAACTAAAATGAAATATTAAACAAGCACACTTATTTCTTACAGTGTATTACAGCCAACTGCCAACTGCTGGCAACGTGGTTCAAGACTTACGTTACTTGTGTTCAAATAAATGTTGCACTCTCTGTTTATTTACCCGACGAACTTCCATGCCAATTATTAATATTTAATTTACATTATTCGTTCCACAGACGAGCTGGGCATCAACAAGGACAGGTACAAGTCTCTGGCCGACGAGATGGACTCCACATTCGCCGAATTGGCTGGCTACTAAGCGTTGCCTCTGCTCCGGACGATAGTAGAGAAAGAAGAAGAGGAACTCAACTAAATGTAAACGATTATCATCTCAATATCATTTTGCAAATCAAAACAGAATCAAAATACCAAGAACAACATCTATTGTGTATATCTTTTAACCAAATCTATTTCTAAATAAATAAATAACAACAATAACAACAACAATGACATCGACAACAGCAGCAACAACAACCGCCACATAATATCTGAATTCAAGAATAATTTTTTGTATTTTTAAAGTCATGTTTTAAAAATATTAAGAACTCGAGCAGTCACTAACACTCCAGAGCTAGAAGCACGAGAGATTAATAAAAATATATACAGAGAACGAGAGAAAGAGAGAGCGAATGCGAGAAAGAGAGAGAGCTAATATGTATCTATGCTGTTAAGAATGAAGAATGGTTGAAAATTTCAAATTTTATAATATATTAAAGAAAAAACCCAGAAAATACGATAAAAAAAACTATATAAAAATTTATAAAAAAATTACAAAAAAAATTATATGTTGATGTTTGCTTTGATGAGAACTTACAACTTATTTTCTTTGCATGGAACAGAACTCTCAATTCTTGTTTGTGGGACTTTTTTTAAAGGGATAGTTGAATTTATTCAAAGGTTTTGATGAATATGGGTTGACTCTATGGTGCCAAGGGAAATTGTCACATTGCGAATTTTCAGCATAAATTTAAGGATTAAAAATCGATTATCGACTATGACGGATTTTGTTTCAAATTTTGACCGTATAGTCATCTTTTGGGTTTCTGCGTAAAGCTTGAGAAACAGATCTTCATATTATTTTCAAAAGAAATGCAAAACACGTTGGGAAAACCCCTCCATACAAACCAAATAAATAAAACGAAACGAAGTGCGTCATCGAACGGCACCGAAGTCGAGAAGAGACCTTCGTTGCAACATGGCTAAGCCGATGGCTAATAAGCAGTCAAAATAAGTCGCACTGAAAGTCAAATTGAATCTCATGGCAACCACTCGAAATTTCGTAGGTCTCCCGAGAGCACTTGCCAGCATGTGGGCAGAGCGAGAAACGCGCTCCACAGCTCACGGATGCTGGTCGACTTGATCGTGGATCGTCCGCCTCTAAAGCCATCAATGAGCATCAAATCAATTCAGCGAAATGGATTATCAAGCTTTAATCATATGCCAACTGCCATTTCTTTTAAAGCGTAAACGATTTGTGAATGGAAAAGACAAATTCAAACTATCAAAACTTGTGTCGTTTAAGTCAGAGTTGAATTTATGTTGTGAAAAATATCATGATAAATAAATATGAATTAAAAATTGAAATTTGAATAGATTTTGAGTCTGATTTGTTATCAAACAAAACTAAAAATAGTTGTGATTGTATTTATTATTTCAACAATATCTCTAAAAAAATTGCTTATAACAAATTTAATAATTAATATATATTAATTATTAATTATTTTAATTATTTTAATAGCAAAAACATTAAATTTATATCAAAGCAACTCCATAATAAATACAAAAAGTTTCGGTAACATGGCTTACGGCTCGAACCAGTTTAGCTCATAAGCTAGGTCTTTTTATTAACCTCAAAATTAGATTTAAATCAAAATTTGAAATAAAAATACAATTAATAAACTTTTAAGAATTTGTTTTTAGTTTTAAAAGTAGTCGTTTTTGAACACTTTTTTTATTTATGTCTCTGTTATCTATATACATTGGAAAACTCCCATCAATTAGAGCACATTTTTTAACACTTTGAAAAAAAAAATTATATTAAAACAAGTGGCTTAATAATTTTTTATGATTCTAAACACCAGTAAGAAAAGGTTGTTACAATGAAAAATGATTTCTGCTTTATAAAACTTGTTTTAAAACGAAGAAAATAAACCTTAGCTTGCCAGTATTAAGGTAATAAGGTAATAAGTGAAGTTAATTAATTTATATTTATCAATAAAGTGGAGTATGCAATTAAAGCGCAATCTTAATGAGTTTAACAACAATGACGAAAAAGGCGCCGCCGTCAAATAGACTTCAACAAACAACAACAAACAAACAGCGACAAACCCAATGACTTACATTCGTGAAGAGCGTCGGAGAAAGTGAAATTTTGCATTTCACGCAGGTAAAAAAAAAAAATAAATATGAAAAAGACAGCGCCATGGTCATGGCAGAGCCAGCCCCAACCACAGCTCCAATTGAAGCTCAGTCTCCGTCTCAGTCTCAGTCTCAGTCTCAGTCTCCGTTTGAGTGCCACGCGAAGCGGACGCCACTCTAAGAAACCGAAAGTGTTTTTCCTTTTCGTTTTTATTATTTATTGTATTTCTTATGTTTATTATTCGTTTCGAGTGTGAGTGGAATCTTTAAGCAAACATTACATGTCGGCAAAGAAATTAATGATGTGTCGTCATGTCGGCATGTGGCTCATATGTCTGGGCCTTTGCCCTGGGTTATGCAAGCCAGACGACAGTGAAACTATGCAAAAATACGCAAATGAATCGCTGACGGACGCCGCCAATTGGTCACAATTTCTCGAAGATTATGTGCTGAGGTCGGTGTCGTGTGTTAGCTGTTGATCAAGATGGATTATTATAATTGATTTGTGCCCATTTGTAGCCAGAGCAGCAGCCAGCGCATGTCGAAGGATCTGGCCTATATGGGCGGCGAGATGGGCGGACCCATTAACTATCATTCCTCGGCTTACAAACGGCCTGGCAACAACATTTACATTACACGTCGCATTGGCGAGGCGGTGGAGCTGGAGCCGCATCTGCGTACGCCGGTAGAAAGCCAAGGTCCGATTGTCAACCCACAGTTTCGGCCTATGACAAACCAAATGTTGCACCAGCAACAACAACAACAACTACAGCAACAGCAGCAACAACAGCAACAGCGCCAGCAACCCGGTTTCTTGCAACAGCTCTTTGGTTTCGGTAATTCGGAGCCATCTCCGCCTCAGGCGCACCTGCGTCCAGTGCCGCTGCAGCAGCCGCCGCCGCCGCTGCCACCTCATTCGCAGCAGCAGCAACAGCAGCAGCATGGCAGCCCGCCCAACACTTTCCGAGCCGTTTCTGAAAACGATTTGTATCTGCTGGGTGCGATTGAGAAGTTGGTCTATCGTGTTGGTAAGAAGAAAGAATATAAATATAGATATTGAATTTCTTTCTATATGTATTATATAGATTTATAAATTTATATATATTTTTTTATTTTTTTTATAATATATCTATATATAATCGTCTTAAAAGCTTTACTCAACTTTTTTTTAATTTTATTTAAATATGATTTCCGTTAAATGAATTTTATATGAAATTAATTTTATTAATATATTTTGGTCTATAGTAAAAAGTTATCTTAATTATAGTTAATTTCTATCTATTTCCTTACTTTTCTAGTATTATTTAAACAAAACAATTACTGAATATCTGCCGATTTCGCTACTTTCATGTCACTTACTCGCTCTTTAAATCTCGTTTAACACTTAGCGCCTTGTGTTAACTACTTGCCTGCTTACCATGTTTACTCTCGGCTTGTTCTCTCTCTCAGCATCTCGTAAATCTTTAGTTAAATTAATTTTAAAAATTTGTTAACATCTTTTTAGTAACGTCTTTTTGTCAGTAATGCATTTTGAAGCTCTACTCTAAAAATAATTGTATTCTGTTTTCAACCTTTTTAGATTATTTGGAAAGTCGCGTGCGACGAACGGAACAATTGATATATTATCTCATGGCTGGCAACAATCAGAAGGAAGTGCGTGATCCCTGCCCAACGAATTTCACGCGGATCAGCGACAATTGCTATTATATCAACAGTCATCAGCTGGTGAACTGGAAGACGGCAAATACAGCCTGCAAGGGGCTCTCAGCTCACCTGGCCGAGTTCGAAAAGGTGTCCGAGAACGAAGAGATTATGGCCTATTTACTTAATCAACCGGCACATCGAGGCCGTGACTACTGGCTAGGTGGCCTCAATCCGGGTCTTTTGTGGATTTGGTCCAATTCCGCGAAACCCGTCAATCCGAATACAAATCTCACCTCAATTGCCATGTCACAGAAAGCTGAAAATTCTACGGCCTCCAACCTGGTAGACAGCAGCGAGGAAGCAACAGAGGAGAGCGATATACTCAACAATACAGTCCAAATAGAGGGCAAGGGACGCTGCTTGCGCCTGAGCTACAATGCGGGCAAACACAGCTATGTATACTATGGTCAGGAGTGCACTTCCAGGCATTATTATATCTGCGAGCACGAAGACAAGACGCTTGACAATAAAATCCAGAAGATCGCGCGCGACCTGAAGCTTTTTGATTAAAACAGATTTGAATGAATATTCATATTAAAATATTTTCTAAGAATAATGTTCGATAAGACATTATGAGCTGCTCTGAATTTCAATTATGTATTGATCCGATTAGGGACTCTGAACCGGGTTCCATAGCTATATTTTAATTTAAGCCATAGACAGTTGATGTATATTTTGAATGAATTTCTTGCTTTAACAAAAAATATTATATTCGTTATATATTTATACATAATTATATAAATAAAATAATTTATAACACATATTTTTCAACGAATCTACGGTTTAAGTACAATTTAAGGATACTTTGTTTTTCTTTTCTTCTTTTTTTTTTGCACAGCAAAGCTTTAAGGAATTGCGCATATCAATTAATAATGAAAACTATCGGCTAGGCCAATCGACAAACTTAATTTGTGCATGCTATAAGCAAAATTGTATACACAGAATAGAGCTGGGAGATCTTAACTAGCAGCCAGTTATGACTTAGAGTCGCACTTAGTCGGGATACAAGTAGTCCTGCAATATGTTTTGGAAAGCTATTTTAATTTTGCCTCGATCGCGTCCATTCAGCTTCTGTATGTCGGGCAGTAGGCTCATTAGAAACATGGCATCCGAGTCGGTCTTGCAGTCGCACAGTTCCACTGGGCCGGCTGTGGCGACCGTCGTAGACGAATTGCTCAATTCCAGGCGTTGCGATGGTGTCGTCACCTGGTGGTGGGAGTGGGTGTGCGAGTGTGGTACATGCATATGACGTTGGCTCAGATAAGCACTGCTGGGCGCGGCAACAACTGCTAGACTCTCATTGTCCGTTGTGGAGGCTGCCGTTGCTCCATTGTTACCAGCGATTGTTGAGTTAGCATGCGTGGTGGTGCTCACCATGTCCACGGCCTTGCTGCTGAAGGTTGGCCGTACAAAAGAAACATTTGAATGAGTTTGCAAATTAGCAGCACCGACAGATGCCGCCACAGCTGTCGCTGCTGCGGCAGCAGCGGCACCTTGCAGCTCCTGTGACCGTGAACGCAGTGAACGTGCCTCCTCGTGGTAATTGCGGAGCTGTAAACGATTCATATGCTGCAGCCGGCTGCTACTGCTGCTGCTGGCATGTTGTTGAAAATGCTGAGTGTAGCGTTTCTCTAACGAGGAAGTGGAACTGGGTGCTGCAGCGGTAGCTGCTGTATCGTATGCTAACGAGCGAATTTCATGGTCCTCATGCTCATGATCATGCTCATCCTCATCCTGGTGTTGATGAGCGCGTTGCTCTTGGTCGGCTTCGTAGTCATCGACTGGCTCCTCGCACTCCGATTTGATGTCATTGTTGTCAAGCGTATGATTTTGAAAACGTACCCGGTGCTCCTCATCAATAATCTCATCAAGCTCCGAGTTGTTATGATCGTGCTCATCGAAATAGTCCAAATAATTGTCAAGTGGCTGCTGTTGCGGTGATTGCTGCGCCGAGTGAATAGCTCCATTGGGATTCACTTGAGTCGTGTTGCTAGTGTTGGTTGAACTTGCCGCTGTACACGTATTAACTGCTCGTTCCCGCTGCATTCGACTTGAGAGACTGCTCAGATGGGCCAATGCATCTTGTACCTGTGTGTCCAACGATTTGGGCTGTTGATGTTTTTTACGCAGGTATGGATGCAGGAAGAACATCCGGTCAAAATATGACCAACAGGGCGGAACTTTCTCTTCCAAATAGTTGGTGTATTCGCGCCGAAATGAAATGCGCAGATTAGTCCATTTGGCTAAGCTGGCACCTGGGTTCTTCTCCAACTTCAAATCAACTTCACGCCAAAAGTTCTCCACGTATGGCCGGCAAAAGTAATATTTATGTCTCGGATTATAGATGGCCTCATCGCGTTGTACAATATCGATCAGCTTGAAGACTTCCTCGGTTAGCCAGCGGGAAGAGCTCGCTGCACTTGCTGCACATGTATTTGCAGAGACGAATTGGCTAGCACTATAATCGCTAGCCATTTTGGAACACTTCCTATATGCGACCTTAGTCCGCCATTAGGCTTACATTTGATTATTTACGATTTTCCTCAGGTTTTATTGAGGTATTTTTTCGCAAAACATTTAATTGTTTTTGCAGTTTCAAGTGAATGACAAAACAGCTGCAAGCAACAGCGGTGCAGCCATCGATAATATATCGACGGTATTTTTTATCCAAATTGATATCAAAGAAACCGGACTAAGTATATATTATATTGATAGTTTAAATCAATATTCAATAGTAGTTTTCTATCTATGTTTACTTCAACATTACGTGGTAAATTATATTAAACATAATGATTATTAAATTATACATACGACATTGCAGGAATATACTTAGTTATGAAATGCGTTTGAAGTTATATTATTAAACATTTATTACAATTTAGAACATTAACATTTATGTTGCTAATTTGTCCAGAAAGTTTTCCAATTTGAATTCATATCCATTAGCAATAATCGAATGCATCATTCCAAAACATAGCTTTGAGCTTTGAGCATATCTGCAGTGTTGCATTACTCAGTTAACCATTTTATTTACATATATCGATATCGATATTACCCAATGTGTATGTGGTGCGAGTGTTTTCCTTTTCTTTGCCCGTATTTGTTGTTAAATAAAAAAAGATTGTGTAGAAGTTGCTTTCACACTAGCTTTAACAGTTAAAAGGATTAAATTACATTACAGCATTACAGCAATAAACATATTATTATTGATTTCGCCTGGTACATTTGGTTAACCAACACATAATCTTCTGCCAGACACTCATACTGCGCCGCTCCAAAGTGGAGAGCAGTCAAATTGTACATATTGTTTATATACAGAATATTGATATAAACGCCATAAAAGATTGATGCGTTACCGTTACCGGCGACATCGATATGGCAGTCAAGGTGCAGTTCGAAATTGGTCACACGTCAAAGCTGCGCAACAAAAAACATCCGTTGGCCTTCACCCATGACTGGGAGATTTATGTACAAGGCGTAAATAAAGCAGAAATAAGTGCATTCGTTGACAAGGTTGTCTTTATACTGCACAATTCTTTTCCCAAGCCAAAACGTGGTAAGTGTTAACATTCGTATTTGTTTTCAATTTGCGCGCCAAAAAAATCAATTAATATTATCTCATTTTAGTTATCAAAGAGCCGCCTTATGTCATACAGGAATCGGGCTACGCCGGCTTTATATTGCCTGTCGAGATATATTTTCGAAATAGAGACGAGCCGAAGCGCATCATGTATCAATACGATTTGGATCTGCAAAATTCCGGTCCACCTCGACATCGTGTTGAAGTCAAAACGCATGTTTTTGAGGCGCCTTCGGAGGAATTTCGTGCGAAATTGATGCGTGGAGGTGGCGTACCGGTTTTTGGTGCAAACATTGCTGCTGCAAGCAGCCTAAACCGAACGGTGTCACCTAGTGAACCGCCCGGATCAGATTTAAACGTGGTCAAGGCGAAGGGTGGTAGCAGCAGCAGCATGATAATTGAGTCAGCATCTACCAAGAAACACAAATCGCGCGCTGATGAAGGCAAGGTTAGCACCTTCTCTGCACTCTTTGGCTCACCCATTACAAAAGGCAGTGCGCCTGGTGGTAATCTGCCATCTATAACTGCATCCAAACATTCACCAGATGCCAAGGCGTCAACGGGCTCTAGTAGCGGAAAGATTGGCACACATGATGGTAAGGAGAAGTCGAGTAGGGAGCGCGATAAGTCCAACAGTTCTGACAAGCCGCGCGATAAGGACAAAAAGGAACGACATGGTCGCGATAAAGAGCGAAAGTCTGGCAAATCGGAGAGCGGCAGCAGCAAGCATGACAAAGACAAGGAGAAGTCCAAAAAAGATAAAACACGCGACAAGGATCGGGAACGCGAACATAGTAGTAGCAGCACGCTTACTGCAGCTGCTAGCGCATTAGTCCGCCGCACTGTCAGCCCTAAGGCGGGCGGTCGAAGCAGCCTAGCCGAAATGAGTCCCAAAAAGCCAACAGCGGACAGTGCAGCTGGTACACCAAATGCTCGTTTTAAGGAGCGCGACGACCACAAGTCTTCTGGGAAATCGGAGTCAAAGGACAAAGAGCGCAGCTCAAACAAAAAATCGAAAAAAGAGAAAAAAGACAAGGAGCGTGAGCGCGAACGGGAAAAACAGCGAGAAGAACGGGACAAAGATAAGCGGTCACTTAAAGATGAGCGTGGACACGGCGACAGTCCGGTCACCGGCAACAGTAGTAGCAATAACAACCAAACACAACAAGCACAGACGCAACAATCTCAAGCCAGCTATGAAACTATAAAGGCCACCGGCAAGGCCACCCCCAATTCGCTGGGCAGCAGCACAAGTGCCAGCAGCCTTGCTTCCAGCAGCGGTAAACGTGTTTACGACAAGGACGAACTGCCAGTGCCACCACAACAATCAGGTGCTGCTCCAACAAAGGGCGTCGAAAAAGGAGTCGATGCCAAAAGTGAGAAATCAACGAACAGCAATGGCAATAGCAACATGGACAAGAAATCGCACAAGCACAAGAAAAAGGATAAGAGCAAAGACAAAGAAAAGGACAAGGAGAAAGACAAGGACCGCAGCGAGCGCGATAAGGAGAAAGATAAGGAGCGCGAAAAGGACAAACTCAAGGATCGGGAGAAGGATAAGTCACAGCAGCAACAGCCAATTGTATCGGATAAATCAACAACAGTAGCAGCGTCTGCTGGAGCAACGGATGCATCCCCGAAGACGGAACTGAGTAGTCAGCAGCAGACTGAAGCAAGCACGGAAAAAGCAATACCAGTGACCAGCAAGAAGGAGAAACACAAAAAATCGAAAGATAAGACCGCCAGCAAAGAGGAAAAGCGACAACGAGAAACTGACAGTAAGCATAGCAATAAGCAGGCGGCGACACCCACATCTGGCACAGGAGCAGGAGCGGCACAGACGCCAATTAAGGGATCAAGCAATTTGGATTTGAGCGACATGGATTCGGCACAATCGGCTCCAGACTTGGCAGCCACCAATGCCTTGGCGGCGGCAACAGCTGCCACACTCCAACATTCAGATAGTTCCAATAGCAGCTTTCCTGATTTGCCAGCAAAGTGCACCCAACAGAAGAGCTCAATGGGCGCAAAAGGCGCACAGAATAGTGCGCAGCATGCGAAGGATACCAAAGCGGCTGAAAACACTGGCAAGGAGCAAAAAGGCAAGTCAAAATTAGCCGAAAAGTCGGAAAGGACAGAAAAGCTGGACAAGTCCCCAGATGCCAAGGCTGAGAAGGTTGAGAAGGCAGAACTTAAGGAAGAAAAGAAACGCAATCGACGCAATTCTCAAAACAGCAACAGCGGCAATAGCAGTACCACCTTCATTGAGCCACCATTGAAATCGACAAAAAAAGAGCAGACAGCGAGTAAATCAGCGCGTGAGAAGTCCAAGTCGCCGTCTCTGCGGCAAGGATCAATAGCACCAGCAGCAGCTACAGTGCCAGTGAGCAACAATAGCATTAACTCCTCGCCGAGTAGCCATAACAACAGCAACAGCAACAGCTGTCCGGCTATAAACAACAATAATAGCAATAGCAGCCATTCACCTGCAGAGCCACTGAATCAACCACTGAGTGGTGGCGGTAACAGCACGCCTCTGCCCACTGAATACCTAAGCGAACTGCAAGAGCTGCATCACAAGATTATGACGTTGCAGGACAACGAGGAGCTGCAGCAAGTTGTTGAAATGATTGCCGCCACCGGCTGCTACGAGATCACACACAAAACCTTTGACTTTGATCTGTGCAAATTGGATCGTGGCACCGTGCAGCGACTCCAAGAGTTCCTTGCGACGTCCGTGTCGTGACCCAAAATGGGACCAACGGGCTCATCAGCGGCAACAGCGGCTTACAGCTAAACGAGATGTACACTCATCAACCAATCTCTCATGCACTTAACCAAATAATCTTTACAATTACAATTAGTTAAAGCAACTGAAATGCAAAGCGAATGTCCCCAAATTTTAAATACACCCCAAGTTCTATTGGCAACGTGTATATTGGTATTACGTTTTTCATGGCCATTTGACCGGTTAGTTTGTAAGTTCTCAATTAGAACAGGTATTTCAAAGTCTATGCCGTAAAGTATGCGATACTTTTTAAACACACACAGATAGACACGCCCCTTTAGAGCAAGGCTATCTTTTTAGAAACACTACATGCAAATTAGTTTAGAAATCATAACTATAATGTCCTGTTTCGATCTTAGTATACATTTTTTTTAATTTCTTATTTGTTTATAACATGATGCTATTTCTTTTTCAATAAATATTTATTGATTTTCTTTTTGTATTTTTCTACAAATAAATTATGATTTTTTACTTTCTTTTTGGACTAAAATAAATAAACAATTTTTTTTAAATAATCAATATAAAAATATTGAGAAGCGAACAAGAAAGCTCAATCTTTAGCAGTCAACCCAAAGTTAAGATTCGTACTGTGTGCGATATATATTATAGTTACTTATATAAATATAAGTATATATTAATGAAGTATAAAAGTTAAACATATACATACATATATATTTATATACACATGCAATACATTTTAACAGACCATAAAATCGAACGTGCCATTGAAAATATTGACAACATGAAGAAACGTACAAGAAGTGTTATAGCCCATTACTCAGAAAATCCGTTTAAATATGGTTAACATATGTTTCGTATTGGTTTGCCGATCTACAATATATATATATATACACATATATATCTGCCTGTTGGGATTTAAGGCCAGGCGTGTGCAAGTTACAAATATCAATTCTTTTGCTAGTTATGTGCGGTTGGTTATTTACAAATAAAATATATTATATATCCTTTCATGTGTATAAAGCAATACTTATGCAGTTACGAATTTATACAGGTAGTAAAAAAAATATACCCTGGATGCATTTGTAATGAACGTAACATGTGAACATAAGTGCATAAGCATGATTTAAGAGAATATTCAAATAAAATATAGACACAACATACAAATTAATAAATACCTCCATAAAAATAATAATTGTGTATTTTTCAGTATCAAAATATTTGAGTTTTGTTTCATTAAGGAACTAAGTAGGAGAGAGCTTCAAGCTTTGAACTTAAAAGGATATGCCAAGAGCTAAATCGGCGGCACCTTAATACAGTGTTTCCGTATTCAGTACATATTAAGTATACGTAAAATATTGCGAGAGATAATAACAAAATTGAATGCAGCTTGTTTGTGCATTGACTAGATTTTTAGTCTCGGCAGTAGCAAAACTTGCGCAGCTCTGGATCACGCTCGTAAATACATTTGGCCTGGGACCCGTACTTGTTGACCCGTGAGATATCTGAGAGTTTAGTTGTGCTTTCGTGTGTGTTTAAATTGTAGGCCACGCTCGCCTCATACAGCCCCTGGCCTGGCTGGGTGACTAGTTGCACCTGATAGAACACATCGTGTACCTCTGTGTGACCGCTCAAATCGGCTAGAAAGCCATCTTTGTCACTATTCGTTTTAAATTGCAATAGTTCTTTGTGTGGCTGCAGTCGCAGCGCCCAGTTGATGCGCAGCAATTGAAGTGGTGCGCAAAACTGACGTCGTTCAAGAGTTGCCGCATTGATTGTCTCCACTATGCTGTTGGCCGCTTTGAGAATAGCGCCCTCGTAACGACTGTCATTCAATTGCAACGGCTGCCAGTTGAGGCAGGCGCACCAATGTGGCTCGATGTACGCATCCGCGCATGAACGATTGCTAGGTATGCGCTCAAAGAGCGATATGGCCCGACCTCGCGCTTGCTCCGAGATGTGTATATTTTTTGGCTGATTGGTTTCCGTTTTGATGTCATTGTTGAGGACATCGTAGCTGTTGTCAGCTGTCTGTTCATTTAGCCCAGCTGATTGCATCTCTGCACGAACAAAAAAGTATTACATAATAATAAATTCTTCTTTTTACGTATCTTACGTATACTTACGTATCAGATGCTTGAACGTGGCATGCACATCGAAGGGTGTGACGAGTCGGTGCTCATTCTCCACAAAATTGTTATACTCCTGGGGAAAGCGCTTCTTAAATGATTCAGGAAATGTGAAGCTAAAGAAAGGTAGACGTTCCTCCTGTTTGCCTTGAAGAGTGGCGCGCACTTCGGCAAATCGGTTGCCATGATCAGCCATGAATATTAGAATGGTATCATCAAGCAGAGACTTCTCCTTGAGCGACACCAGCCAATCGTGCACATCGTCGTCGGCAGCGCCCACAAGATTAATAGAATCGTGTGAGAGACCACCATGAAAGCTGAATACAAAACGTGGCGAGTCACGATACTTCAGCATAAACTGTAAAATGCAAAAAGCATCTCTAAGTAAATTACAAAATTCATTAAGTTTGATATGTGAGACTCACATTCTTGGTATAGTCGAGCATGACTAGATGATCTGGTTGGTTGCCAATACAGTTGGGAGCACTGCCACTCAGCATGTTCGAGGCCTGCATGTAAAACGTGCGCAAATAATGATCCACGGGCTGCGAATCGAAGCCATTCATGCGATACGTGAACGTACCCACATATGGCAAATCCTCATTGAATGAGGTCAAATAGCCGAGTCGCGCAAAATCCTGCCAAATCATTGGATATGCATCGACACTACCAGAGCTCGAGACCCGTTTCCTTGTTTCCGGCAGCTCCAATTCCGTGTAACCTGTGAGCAGAGGCACCAACGCCTGTGGAGTACCATCACCAACAATATTATAGCTCTGCAGTACAATGGCGCCCAGCTGCTGAGTTAAATAGGCATAACTGCGCGGTAGCTTACGTATGAAAGCATTTCGACTCAAAGAATCGAAACCAAACATCAGTACATTGAAAAATGGACTTGTCGGCAGCTCCTTCAGATGGGCTTGTTGGTGCTGTGAACTGGCAATAACAATTTCGGCAGGCAACGCAGCCACATTGGGCACTACGGGCCTTTGCACAGTGTCCCGTATACCAAACGCCATACCAAACCATTTCTCACCGCTAGCCGCATGACATGCTACACGAACGAAATCGCTCTTCTGCAGCACATATGGCTCCTTTATTCGAACGGTTCGTCCAAAGCGCGCAGTGTAGTCCGATTTGCGAATAATATCCGTATATGAGCATGTTATGTCCCCATGTACTGCAGTTATTTCGGGCTTCACAAAGCATATCGATTTCTACGAAATAATCGAATACCGAAATATATACTAATTGAAATTTGATATCGTCTTTATTAGCAATTTAGAAAGCTCAAATGCTTGTTTACAAGTACGAACTTCCGTTGTGGATAGCATGCAAATTCTCAAGAAGAAAACATATAAACACAATAAAACAAATATATAACCAAGTACAATAAGCATGTATTAATTAATATTTACCTCACACATAACCCAATCTGTCTGGGATCCGCATTTTATTTTATCAACCGGCATGTAAAATTTCATTATAACGGGATTATCCACTGGTAAATGGGGTTGGCGGCATTCCCCTTGATTCATGACAGACCTTATCGATCGCTCAATTATTTCACTGCAAAGTTTTACAAAGTTGAATAAATAACAAAAAGAGCGTGTGTACCTCCCGTATACATATGGATACATATATACACATACTTACATTTTAATGGTTTTATCTACATCTTCCGGCTCAGAGTTAAGCAACAGAAATGTAACAAACATTACTAATATCGTGCAGATAAGCACGAGCTTAACCACACCACGACGTATAAAGCGCATTTTAATAACAAAACAAAATATTTTTGAAACAATTCGATATGTTTGTGGTTTGCCAATGTTGAAGATAACTACATTCTGGGAGACACTATTCGCAGATTGGAGCACTTGTAAGTGCAGTTGTGTCAGAGTTCGCCAGTTGCATCAATATTAATTGTTTTTTATGCGCTGCATTTATTTCCAAATCACAATTTTGTTTAATAGCCCCGCGTTAAACCGACAGGCGAGCTGTCATACGATACCAAAAACAGTAAGACCAGATTGTGTAATACTTTAATTATCTGGTATTTTTAACATGCTTTCAGCGGTTTTACCTACTTTTATTGTTCCGTCCGGCAGCACTGTTATTTAAAATATCGACAGTTCTAATTTAAAAACAAAATAAATTAAGCAAAACAAAGAAATTTAATTAAATTAAATAATTAAATTAAATTGAAAATGTATTGTTAATCATAAAATGTAAAGCTTAGTTACTATTAAAAATATATTATTTCACAAAATGAAAAATAAACTTAGATAAGACTTAACCATAAATAACCCATTAATATTTTTGTCTAAGCCGTTATCTTAAGTATTTTTAAAGCACGTAAATAAGTATTGAACAACAATGGCTATAAAATAAACAGTGCTTATCACAATAAAATAAAATGCATAGGTGGTAAACTGTTCAAACGTGTTCAACTGAAGATTCGCACTCTCGGAGACGACGACAAGAGTGAGCACAGTTTGTAATATCAGTGCAATGAGTGTGTTTATGCCAAAGATCAAGGCAAAGCTATCCTCAGCCAAACTTTTGGCCAGCTCGGCGCTGCAACAGAAGAAAAGAACCTTTGCTCTGAAGAAATGGGCTAAAACGTAACCTAGACTAACCTGGCCACCGTGATAGTATATCCAAAAAGAGCTCCAAACAGCACATAACCCAGATATGACAAATAAATATTAGTGGTCCACGATGCAAACAATATGCAGACACCCTCTAAAATTGCCAGCACAGCTAACGATAAAAGGCTGGCGTGTGTTTTTAAACGTCCTGCGTGCAAATAGCCCGCCATTAGAGAGAAGAGAGCAGCTAGTGCAGTAAGGGCGGCGTCTACGCCCCCATTCCAAACAATCTATACAAGTATTATAATAAGAATTTCAATTGACTAACTTTATACTCACCTTTGGCTCGTTTGCAAACGATTTCCACAGAACTTGTATGTAGGTTGTTACTTGCAGATAGCCAGCCAGATTGATCGCATACCACAAGCTCCACTGTAGAACCAGGACATTTGTATAAGCACTGTGGAAGTGCAACCACAGCAGCTGCAATGGTTGAGCACGGTCCTTCTTGGCCATCGAGAGTTCATTGGATATATTTTTAGAGATTTCATTCGAGAGTTCATTGGATATATTTTTAGAGAGCTCAGGTGCATCCGTTTCCTTATCAACGGCTCCACTGACTGCCATTTGTTGATGGAAATACAAGCTCTGCTCCACTCTGGGCAGTAAAATGGTCCATAGGAGGGCTAACACTTGTGCTGTGTGATACAAATTTGATATATCATATTTTATAAAATATAAGGAATACTAACAGCCAACAGATATGTACATCAACTGTTGATAGTTCATCCAATCAAAGCCAATGAGCAGCTGAGCCAATAGCCCTGCCACAAGTTTTCCCACAAACATGGCAGCTCGTGTATGGGATGTGACACGGGGATAATACTTCTTATCGACCTTGGCATATATATAGGAATAATATGCTACCTCGGTGGCCTGATAGAAGCCATAGAATACCTCAACGACTTGCAGACCCAGCAACGTGCTCGTAGTTAGCAGCACAGTCCAAACAATAATTCCTGTGAGGGCGTTGGCAATAATCATGGGCTTGTATCTGTATAGAGGTTATTTGAATTGTAAATGTGTGTGAGTAAGTGTGAGTGAGTGTATTACCTGAGAAAATCAGTGATCAGGAAAACAACAATCAGCAGCGATAGATAGGAATAAGTTCCGATTGGGTAGACACTACGGTTCACTTGATCCTGTGTCACATTATACCACTCGCCTAGCAAAATTTCAGAATGATAGGGCTCCGAGGGCCGCAACTCACGTAAAAACCCAAATACACAAAGCACACCAGATATCTTCAACCAAGAATGCTCCATGTCTAGTTCTAATGCTATTGCTTGTACTAGTGCTTGTGTTTGATCAACACTATCTAATCAACGAGTTGGTCAAACTCGACTAACTAGCTGAGGCTTGAGTGATCGGACGTAGCATACAAATAATTAAAATAATTGCACATAGCTTTTTATGGGGTTACAAGTTAAACAATTCACATACATAGGTATTTATATACCTAACCGTCTATATTTATTGTAATCAGCACTGTAGTCCACAGATTAATGTGTTAGACGGGAAACGCGAAAATTTTCCCTAATCACAGGCACAATCTTTCACATACAACTAGCTAGTTGTAAAAATTCACACAGTAAAAAATCTGTGCAGTCGGTATAAATAAGTTTAGAGCGTTTAAGATTACCGTGCAGGCAATTTAATAAGTTTAAATTATTAAAAACAACAATGGGAGGGGGCTTTTTATACCCTGAACCCATTGAAAATGGGAAGGTCAGGTTATAATGGCTTTATTACAATGTACGTAACCGGCAGAAGCAGTCGTGGCAGACCCTATAAAGTATATATATGTTTGATAAGGCTCAGATTCCAGAAATGTAACAGTTCATCCAAGAGGCGGCGCGCGCTATCAAGCGGTCATGTGTTAAACTCCAGTTGACGTTGGGCGGCTTTTTTAATATTTTTATTTTTTTTAATTTGATGTGAGTATATTGGTAGAGATGAGGCGCACTGCGTAGCAGATGTTGGTTTAAGTCCTTCTTTATTTTTAACGCCAAATAGAAGCTATAAACAATAATTGCTTCAGGGTATTTCCTAGTCTAGCACCCCGACTAGAGCTTTCTTACTTGTTTATAGCTATTATAAGACAAGATTGTTCTAGTCAGAACTGCACGACTAGGAGTTACGCTATTTGTTGAGCCAATAAAGACGGCTGTGCCTCTCCTCTCTATATTGAAGATGCCGAAAAAATTATCTATATCGCTCTAGTCCATCAAGTTTACGATATATACTCAAATAGACAATAAAAAGATGGGATAAGTTGTTGAGTACTTGAAGCAAACCTAATCGTGAGAGTACAAGTCCATAGATTTTAATGCATTAATACATACAGACAGCGCTCATTCAGTTATTGATCCTGATCTAGAATAAATATAAATTAAGGGGCAAGAACGTGACTTCTTTTGTATGTTATTTCCGTGTTAATGACACCTACACGCCCTGAATTGCCATTTTTAATAGACTTAGGGTATAATGAGATAATACAAATCGAAAGATAATTGCCCTTGTCCGGTAATGGAGTCAAGTAGTAAAGAATTTAAGCAAATTACATATAAGTGATAATGTTCGTCGATTGTTCATTATTTAGTTATTACTAAGTAATCGAGAATGTGCTGTTTTACACGTATAAAAGTTAATTACACCCTTAACCCATTTAAGATTTCAATGGTTTTGATATATTGTTTGATATATATATTTGATTCGGAGCAACAACTATTAAGCCCTTGTCTCATCCCATACACAAGCGGTCATACCTGTCCCAGATGCTTTGATTGGATGAACTATCAATGCGGATGCGCCTGAACTCTCTAAAAATATCTATAAAAAACATTTCAATGAACTCTGAACACAGTAAAAAATTCAATAAGATTTAGTGCTGGTTATACGATTGGTACTATCGGTGCTATTGACGCTGTAGTATAGTTCGAAGGAAGCATGACTCCAGAACAAGAAAAACAACAAATTAACCAAATCCAAATGTATTTCAAGTACTTTATTTATTTGTGCCCCTTGCATTCGTATTTTCGTTTCTATATACTGCTAGTTGGTATAACTTGACAACGAGAACTATTAAGTACAATAAGCTTCAACGAAATGATTTTAACCTAAACCAATATATAGAAGCTCTAAATATTTATAATAACATATCATATAGTATAACATATCATTATAGTATTAAATAAAATGAAAATGATTGAAAAAATTGTATAGGTTCTGCTTACCGAAGGAATGCTAATAAGAATTTATCTAAAAAACTCGCTAATACGACGATATACCTCTAAAATCTATTCTAAATTTTCAGTTTTTGTGTGGACCTCCTGCAATCCGCGCTGCCATATATGCTCAACCAACACAGATATAAAGTATATGATGGCCACAGCTATGAAATAGAACGCATAGACCGCGTATTGGTCCACGGGGTTAAGTTCAAAGCCCGTCTCGGAGACGACAATAACGGTGAGCAGCGACTGGAAGACCAAAGCGAGCAACGTGTTGATACCAAAGACCAGACCAAAGCTTTCCTCCTGCAGATTACGAGCCACCTCCGCGCTGCAAGTAAGCAATAAACCACATCTCATATTGTTTAAGTCATAGGAATTACTGTTTTTTACGCACCTGGCCACAGTAATAGTAAAGCCGTAGAGTCCTCCAAATATGACAAAACCCACATAGGACCAATATATGTCATTGGTCCAGCAACAGATAAGAACACTGCTACCTTCCAGCGCCGATAGCACTGAGAGCACCAGCAAACTGGCTCTTGGCCTTAAGCGACCGCTGTGCAAATATCCAGCAGCCAGAGCACTTAATGCTGCTAAGGCAGTCAGCACAGCATCCACGGCACCATTCCACGCAATCTGCGGCTCGGGCTCGATAAACTTCCATAGCACCTGCATATAGTAGGTGACCTGCAGATAGCCGGCCAGGCCAATGGCATACCAGAGACTCCACTGTACAACACGCGGATTTGTGTAGGCATTGTGAAAGTGTTGCCACAGCAGATGCATGGGACTAGATTGCACCTGCGGGCTGCTCATCTGTTGGCTGACCCGATCGGGCTCCAGCTGCAATTGATTTGATTGAGGAGCCGCCGTTGACGACTCTCTGAGTGGCGCGCGATGAAAATAGAGACTCTTATCAACTTTTGGCAGTCCGAACGCCCATAGCATAGCCAATATTTGTGCTGTGTTGAAGCATAGATAACTCTTAATTATTTCGTCATTAATCGTTTTAATTGATCTCTACTTACTGGCTAGCGTTATGTAGTTGAGTTGCCTGTAGTTCATCAGCTCCAGATTGATCATCAACTGAGATGTTATCCCAGAGATCAGTTTGCCAGCGAACATCGCAGCACGGGTGTGGGAGGTGACGCGTGGATAATACTTTTTGTCCACCTTGGCATAAATGTACGTATAGTAAGCCACCTCGGCGGCCATATACGTGCCATAGAAGAACTCCAAAATTTGCAAGGATAGCAAACTGGTTGTCCAAATGAGCATGCTCCATATTATTACGCCAGCTGCACCAATGGTAATTATCAAAGGTTTATAGCTGGAATTGTGAAACCAGAAAACAAATATATATTCTAAATAATAATATATTGTTTATGGTTTATATAAATCAGTTGCTTAATTCGTAAACATAGCTGAATTCATATACAAAAACTTGCATGATATGATTTGATTTTATGATATTGATTGATACTCTAGATATATAGCTATACGGTTTAGTTATATTATATATTTAGATATTTAACTTTAAAGGATAGACAAGTAAGTATATATGTATACACATTTTAAATAAAATTATTCAATTTTCGAAACGCTTACCGTAAAAAGTCGGTTATAAGAAACACAAAAACCAATTGAACCAGATGTGAATAAGTGCCCACCGGATAAACATCTTGTGTAAGCTTTAATTTAAAAACATTTTCTATATAGTTTAAAACTGATTTAGCTTAAAGCTTACTTGTTGCTCTGTTATGTTACGCCATGGACCAAGAAGATATTCTGTTACGTACGGCTCAGAGGGTCGAATTTCTCGAACGAAGCCAAATACGCAGAGCAGGCACGAGATTTTTAGCCATTCCTTCATTTCTTAACTGTTAGACGTAACGTAACTTAACGTCACGTAATGCACGGCAATGTAACGGTCACACAACACGTATTATGCTATAGAATGCTGTTATTTTAATCATCTACATCAGCAATCCGCTGCGTTCGATTTGAATGAATATGCAGTGTATTTTTTTTGCATGCTTTTACACTTGTTTAATTTTAGAACCTCGAAGTGCGCTTCTTGGAACCGTCGACCTGCAGACAAGCCAGTAGGCGTTTAATCTAATCGTTAAGTTGGCTTATAAAGATGTCATTATCTCACATTAATGCCAACACACTGATTGCTTCTTTATTATACGATTGTTAGATAATTGAAAATTTATAAGTTACAAAACGCAGCACTCGTCGCGTTCACTTCGACGTTTCACGACCAATTTGCCGGCTTGCGATACGAAAGTAAGCAACATTTTGAATGTCAGCGATACATAAAGAAATGAGAGCATATACACACATATATGTATGTTTGTAAACACTAGGTCAGCCTGAATACGGGATACCCTACACCACATGCAACCACTGCACTCACAATATACAGACCTAAAAAATTCGGCTATGCGCTGATGTTGTCGCCGCCACTGGTTGACTTAATTGATTTGTGAGCAACAACAGCGTAATTCGATTCAATTTATTTGATTTGTTTTTGTCAGCACAAAATGTTTTTCAATTTCATATCGTTGACGATTGTTACATCACAAATGAACATGCATGTGCAGCAAACAGCTGTGCGCTGTATTTGGTTGGCAACGCGATGTGAAAAACAGCTGTTAGCACCTCATCTGTGATTGGCGCTTAATCTCCAAGAAGAGGAACAACAATAGCAACGGTAAATTGCAAACACATATTCGTTTGTATATTGTAAAAAATACACGTTTATTAGCGCGCACATTTTTAAAGTATTTATGTGTATATGTGTGTGAGTGTTACAAAGTATTTATGTGGGAATTTGTATAACAAAATAAAAGAGAAACATTTAGCTATTTACACAGACAGACGGGAATATGTTATTCATATAATTCTTTGTTTTGTTTTTTGTTTGCTTCATGTAAATAATTCATATGAATAGCTGCCCATTTATCAATACAATACAATATATCAATGAACTATGCTAAGAATTATTGGCCACATTTACGGAAAGTTAGAAAATACGTGTAAAAACTCTTAACAGCAACATTGAGGTTAGACTCTTTCGCACTTGTTTCGTATTCGTTGATTGTTCCATCCCACTCGTTCTTTCCAGTCACTTTCATTCTCATTGTTGCGCAATTGGTGTGCCCTGTGGGCTTAAGGCTTGCGCCGACGTCGTCGTCAACGGGTTTGGCTCCGATTGAACAAACTCAATTGACGCTGAGTTGATGCAGTAGCGCTTGCGTGTGGGTTTTGGTCCATCCTCGAACACGTGTCCCATGTGGGCATTGCAACGGGCGCATCGTACCTCGGTGCGTATACGTTCTGGATGTGCAATTAGTAGTAAAATATTGCCCCCTTTTTATTTTGTATTTTGCAAATGTGAGATTAATTGGGTACGTTCATTCAATATTTTTGTTTGTTTTTGTTTTTGTTTTTGCATAGATCGGGTTACGTTTTCATTGTTGTTTGTTTGTTTTTACAATAATTGATATTTGCATTTCATTGAATTTGTTCAGTTTGTTAAATTTGGTTTATTACAAAATTAAAAAGATTACAAAATAAATGGGAAAATAATAGATGTGAAAAGCAAAAAGACAGAGAATGAGAGGCCGAGTGAGTGAGATTTAAAGGCGTTGATTCAAGCGATACGAGAAACGGAAAATATAACGGCGAAAGTATATTTGTGCGAGAGAGACAGCGAGACAAATGAGTCCAGATGACAATTTGGTATTGCGAGTGCATCAAAAAGAGACGAATAGCGAAAGTAGGAGTAGAGTGAAAATAACAGTGGACGGCGTCGATTGAAAAATGTAGCGAAAAAAGGATATTGAAAAATCGAATAAGAAATGTGTTTTGTTTTACGAACGATTTAGTATTTTTAAATTGATTGTTAATAAGCCATTATTTGCGTCAAGTGTTATGCATTATAGTTTAACAATGATTTTGAATGTTTTGAGTGATTGTGTGATAGTGTTTGTATGTATGTGTTTTGTTAGCAAAACAAACCCCCATAGAACGTTTACAGGCGGAACATTAAGTTTTGGTATTGTTTTTTGTTTTGTTTTTCGAAGCGAGTCAAAAAAAGAGAAATAGAAAATATACGGAAAATACACATTATTCAGTTTGTTGGATAATATATGGATCGGCTACAATAGTCTTGCAGTGTATTACATCAAGTATAAATATAATATGAGTAAAAATATAAACCAAAAATAATACAAGTCTCAAAATAAGCCAAATCAAAAATGTTACAAATGAACAAAAAGAAAAACAAAGTAATGCGACCAGATCTTTCAACCAGCTTTTGATGCATAGATACATACATATGTACATATTATTAATATATATATATATATATATATAAATATATATACATATACATGTAGTTAAATTACTCCTTACCCAATAATATGTTTAATTAATGAATTATGAGAAAAACTAATTAATGGATAAGCTTGAGAGTGCTTCATGTTTTAGAATTTGAATGGAATACATTTGAATACTCGATCTATATATAAATATTGAAACCGCAATTAAAAATGGATGAAATAAATAAATTAAATTAAAAATTTTATCTTTAGTGTATATTGAGATTCCCTTTGTAAACATTTTTCGAATTACACTTTCTGAGTATAATCGACGCTATAAACACATCAGCTATATATAATGAGTATTTTTGTTTTGAATACATGTAAATAAAGTCCTATAATATTTCCATAAATACGAGTACGTTATGTACTTAACATAAAACATTTGTCTTTCTGTATAGATCTCACTTGGTTCTCATTATCATCAAGACCATTATGAATAATTCATTAACCATTATTTCTTGGACGATGTCGTCGTCGCCGCCGCAGTTGAACTTTTCACAAAATCAATCGAGGCCGAGTTGATGCAGAAGCGCCGATGCTTCGGTGGAGGTCCATCATCAAACACATGACCCATGTGGGCCGAGCACTTGGAGCAGCGAACCTCGGTACGAACCATCCCTAACGTTTTTGAAATGACTACTGTTGTTTTAATCATATTATATTATGTTAGTTTTTGCAATTGTTTTCAATTTCAATTTCATAATTTGAGAAAGTTTCGGTTTTGGTTAGCAAAAAAGACGGTGGATAAAAGAATATAATACTCAATTAGGTAAGATTTAGTTTATGCTATTCAGAATTTGGATATAGTTGCACATTTATCAAAAAGGACATAATCACAAGTAACGGCACAAACAGTTTGACAGTTAAGCGACTCAACAACTACAGTGAACACATGGATATAACACACGCTTCTATGTATGTATGTATATGTAAACAATTTCTAGCATTCTAAACTTTTTTTAATTTTTCAGTAACATCAACAAACGTAAGAGCTCATCCATATAGTTATTGCAATTAAGTTTTGAACAAACGTTTCGATTTCGGCGTCTCGTAACTATTTACAATTTTTTTTTTAAATATATACGCTTTAAAAATACTTTATTTATAGGGTGCTCAACTTAAAGTCAATTTGAAATTTTAAATTTGCAGTCAAAGCCTTGTTGCGAAGCGACAAACAATTAAATTAAATAAAAATTGTACAAAATAATAGTCAAATGCAAAACATTTAAAAGTGCTGAACGTATCTAAGCTAAATCGAAATCGAAATCGGAAATGCACTATATGTAGATATATAGCGCACATACCTGGTATACTGGCATCTCGATGCAATGTGACTTTGCCCTTATCGAGCACATCGTTGAAAGCTGGCCAACCGCAGCCCGAATCGTATTTGGTATCCGAGCTAAACAGATCCTGATGACAGACAATACATTGATATACGCCCTTCTCGTAGTGCTTGTTATAACAGCCTGGAAAGTACAGAAAGACGTGGGTTAGAGGCTAGTTTTATTTAATTAGTGTCAAGTTTATTCAAGCACACCTGTGAAGGGGCGCTCAGTGCCCGCCTCTTGTGTAACCTGATATTGTAGCGGCGTTAGACGTTTCCGCAACTCCTCCTTGTTTACGGTAACCTTTTCACTTTTATTCTCCATGTTTGCTTTAAATCTGTTGGAATTTGTGTTCTTAGTGTTGCCGTCGCCGTTGTCGTCGCTGCTTTGACGTGAATCTGCAATTTAAGTCGAATCCGTATATTTAAGCTTGCGGTGAACGTTTTTTCCCTAGTTTTGTTTCGCAACAATTGAGCAATTTGTATCAGTTTACTATGAAAATGTATGTACAGTAAGTAGTTCCCTAGCCAATTGGCCACCTAACTGACTGAGCATATTTTCTCAACTATTGAATTTATACATCTACAGAAAGTGCCAAGTACACAGGTTTTTAATATGATTGCTCTGTATTCTCTTTCTTTCTCTCTCCAGGTTATTACTTTGATACTCTTACTTCTCTTTCTCTTTTTATGCGATTATAGTTGTTTCCTTTGCAAATCTTTATTTGCACAGACTAACTTATCAGTAGATGCAGCAACAAAACCTTACACTTAAGAGGTTCATAAATTATAAGCCATACAGAATTCACGGGACCAGTGATAACGTGAATTACTCTACTATCAGCAATGATTTGCATGAAATAGTAGAGAAAAAACAATAAAACAAAAAGGAATGTGGCAAACCAAAGCCAACCACGCAATTTGTATATAAAATTTATGCATTAACAAAGTATAAACAAAATGCCCGCGACTATTAACCGTTACAAAAAGTGGAAAACCGAAGGTGTGAACAAATTTGTTAGGTCTATGGAAACTGCATCGCTACAAATTGAGTAAAGAAACGCATAGGTTAAAAATAATTTTATGCTCCGCACTTAAATTAAGTGGCGCCCAATATAAAAATAAAAAACGATGCACGAAATGAGGGGAAATTGGGGGCGTTTTTTGTTAATTTTTCTTTAATTTGAAAAGAAAAACCACTGAAGTGTGTCGCGCACAATTTAAAACGATGAATTCATTTGAAAAAAATAACAAATTCGAATTGTTGACCGAATAAAATGAATCACTGTGCGTCTAAAAATAGCAACTAAATTGACAGCTATAAAGTGGGCAAGGTATTAATGCCAGCAATTTGAACTAGAAAATTGAATCGTAATTGAAATTTCGCCAATGGGCTGAGTGAACAAAAATCAATTTAATTGCGTTTCGCTATAAATCACATCTATTGTGTTGTACGGAGCCCGATTCGAAATGGTCCAACTAATAAGGTAGCCATTCAGCTATGCCCGGGCAACACCCAACCCGGCCCCTCCCAACCCTCCTCTGGTTGTCAGACTCACCCGAAAATGCACGCACGTAAGGTAGTGCAGCGACAGCAATAACTCCGCTTTTCAAGTGAATCAAGTTGTACCTGTGCTTTTTGCTAGCAATAAGTGCGAAATTTCGTAGCCACGGTGCGTAGCGAGAAAGTGAAAACATTTTTTGAACGCCTCCAATTGACAACATTAAATCTGTAAAGCGAATATAATAGCAACAGCGCGACTGCAGTTTGCACTTGGCACTGATGGGTTATTTAATCACAGGCAAAATGGTAAAAAAAAAACAACTGCGAAAAGTCAATGTTTTGCCCGTGAGTGCCGTTCTCACTCCCACATATGCACACAAACTAAACCAATATTTATGCAATTTTTCTCACTTCCGTGTTTTTATTTTTTGGCATTCTATGTCTAAGTATGCGCACGCTTGGCCGTGTGTGTATGTTTATGTGTACACACCAATAGGGAGAGAAAGCGTATTAGAGAGAAAGCCAAAGCTAATGCTTGCAGTTTGCTCAATATCACACGTCAGCTTACAAAAAGAAAATAAACACATTAATTTCATAATCAGAAACTTGTATACACCAATTGATCAATAAAAATGCCTAATACGCCAGGCGCAAGGCAAACTAAAATCTTCCACACACACATTCAAAAGCTAGTGTCCTTGAAGGGGCGCTGCGGCTAGGCCAGAAAATCGCTCACCTGCAAATATGTATATAATTTGGTGTTGTTGCTTATATTGCTATTTTTGGCTTTTTGTTTATAATCTTCGCAGCAGTTGTAAGCAGAGTTCTATTTGCGACTATTAACCACAAATGCTATGTTTTCGCAACGAGGGAAACGTAAAAACTAAAAAGCTACAAAACAGCTGCCTAAGGTAATTGCCAACGCTACCGGACAAATTCTCTAAGCAGCTGTTGTATCGCGTTGCCAACTATAATAATTTTAATTTAGTCTGTCTGGTAACACTGCAGATACATTTGTTTTGTTGGCTGCACATATAGCTGAAATCTTTTGTAGATTTTTTATTTATATCGCTAATGTTAAAAAATATGATTAATTTATGTATTTAAATAAATACTTGTGCAAGATAAATATAAGACGCGATGTGAAAATTTTGATTTAGAAAACAATCAGCATTCACCACACACAAAGAGGGCGTCAACAAAGGGCGGAAGAGTGCAAAGCAGAAGAACCAAAAAAAAAAAAAAAAACAAATTCGACGCCTAACAAAGATTATTATTACTTGTTAGTAATAGTAGTTGCGATAATTACGTTGCCATGAGTAACCATAGATATCATCACGGCGGCGGCAGCTATATGCATCCACGAATGTCGTACCAACATCATTTTACATACGTTTCTAGTTGTGTGAAATACCTTATCTTTTTGCTAAACTTTTTGTTTTGGCTGTTCGGTGGGCTGCTTTTAGCTATTGGGGTCTACGCATTTATGGATAAGCTAAAGGACGGCGTCGGCTGGGTTCGACTAGAAACCATTTACGACGTCATCTTCAATATCTCCTTAGTGATGATCATTGCGGGAATTGTCATCTTTGTGGTCAGTTTTGCTGGTTGTTTAGGTGCTCTGCGAGAGAATACTTGCCTTTTGAAATTCTATTCGATGTGCTTGCTCATCTTCTTCCTCATGGAAATGGCCATTGGTGGGCGAGAATGAATGTTTTTTTATTGTCTGTTAACATTTAACTAATTGTGATTTGCTTACAGCCATAATTTGCTTTGTGTTCCCACAAAACATGAATTCTTTCCTAGAGTTCCAATTCACTGATAAGATTATCCACTCATACCGTGATGACTCCGACTTACAGAACTTTATAGACTTTGCACAGCAGGAGTTCAAATGCTGCGGTCTCAGCAATGCTGGCTACCAGGATTGGAGTACGTAGAAGTTTGAAATGTAAATCTTTGATATTTTTTAATTAACTCTGTAATCTTTTTAGGCAAAAATGAGTACTTTAACTGCTCGTCGCCATCAGTAGAGAAATGCGGTGTACCCTATAGCTGTTGCATCAACGCCACGGATATTAGCTCGGGCCTAGTCAACATTATGTGCGGCTATGGTGTGCAGGAGCACTCGGTGGCTGCAGCTAGTAAACGGATATGGACTAGCGGCTGCATTGAAATCGTTCGTGTCTGGGCAGAAAGGAATCTGTATGTGATTGCAGGGGTTGCATTGGGAATTGCGTTCTTGCAACTATTTGTGATTTACTTGGCCAAGACTCTGGAGGGCCAGATCGATATGCAGAAGTCGCGTTGGTCGTGAGTGCCATAGCACCCGGTTTTCTACGGGTACCCTTTTGATGATTTCTACTACTACGACACTCAAATGTAAGCAGACGACAAGAAAGTAAACGGCCAGGCCGCCTCCGTGTCGCTCTTGCTAACCAATTCTTTGTCAATCGTCAGTTAATCTGGTCCGTGCAATGCTCAAACATTTTTCACAAGTTTAAAAACAATTATTATTTATAAGCTTTTATACTTCTGCAACTATTTGCATTTCGAATACTATTGCCTTTCATTGCCATTTTTCTGTTCTCAATGTCTCAAAATTATACTCTCTATACTAGCCCTTAAATCTTATACATGTATACCCATATACTCATAAAGAAATAATTGTATTACCAAATGCCACATTTGTAATGAGCATTGCCCATTTAATGCATGTTTGTTTGTAAGTATTTTAAACGGCTTATCGAGCATAGACAAAATTATAAGCAAATTAAGAAATTTTTATGTATTTCAACGCAATATTAATGTGTTCTCGTTATCATACAAATTGAAGACATAATGTATATAAATGTTAAGAGAGGTGTATGCATTTACAGTATGACATTTCAACTAAAATGAAAACCAATTCCAAACTGCATGCGCATTTACGTATTGTCTACCCATCACAATTAGCATTAGTATAAATATTATATACCTTGTTGTATTGTAGTAATACATCACACAAAAATACTTATCTAAAAATATCGAACAAATATATGTGTATACAAATGACAGATACTAATCCTCTGATTATTTGTTTTGATTGAGTTACTAGTATTGTTAATAATCTATTAAATATTTGATGCCATCACTTAAGATTTTTTACTTTTATTATATAAAGATCTTACAAACTTCCCAAACATCCAGAAATTTCAATATATATATATATAATGTATGTATTTATTTTGCTAATTCATTAATTCATAATATGAATATATTTATTTCAACATCTGATGAAATTATATGCCATGGCTGGAAGATAATTCGAACGACATCAATATAACTTGAGTTGTCCGAAGGTCAACAGATAAGATGTTGTCTTTTTAATCGAGCTCTTCTTGAAGCTTCCATTAAATTATATGGTTAAGTAGTTTGCTTGCGTGCTGAGGCAATATTTATTATCTTTTATGACAGAGCAAGTAAAAATATGGTATTTATATTTATATATTGGACATTTTTTAGTAATTTATGATGCTGCGAATGCTTTCGCCACTGTGCATCAAATCGAAAGCTTCGTTGATCTTGGTCAATGGCATTTCATGCGTTACAAATTCATCCACAAGTAGATCTTTCTTTAGGTAGGCTTCCACTAGTTTGGGAACATCCGAAACGGAGCGCCAACCACCAAACGCAGAGCCCTTCCATACACGACCCACAACCAATTGGAATGGTCGAGTGGAAATTTCCTGACCAGCACCAGCCACACCTATCACCACAGATGTACCCCAGCCCTTATGCGTGGCTTCGAGTGCAGAGCGCATGGTATTAATGTTGCCAATGCACTCAAAAGTGTAATCGAATCCACCATCGGTCAAATCAATCAAATAGTTTTGAATGGTGCCTTTGTCGGCGACATCTTTGGGATTCACAAAGTCAGTAAAGCCGAATCGCTTTGCCAACTCAAATTTAGATGGATTGATGTCAATGCCATATACCTTAGCGGCACCAGCCTTTTTACATCCGAGTCCAACGGCCAATCCAACTGCACCCAGTCCCCAAACGGCGCAGGTGCTGCCTGGTTCCACCTGTGAATAAAACAATGCGTGAGCTGAATAAATCATTATTTTGTACTGCCTTACCTTAGCGGTGTTGAGAGCTGCTCCGTAACCCGTAGAAATGCCACAGCCAAGCAGACACACCTTGTTTAGCGGCGCAGTCTCATTGACTTTTGTTAGGGAAATATCAGCAACCACAGTGTACTCCGAAAATGTGGAGGTGCCCATAAAATGGAACAACTGTTTGCCCTTGCAAGTGAAGCGAGTTGTGCCATCGGGCATTACGCCAGCACCCTGGGTGATGCGAATCTTCTGGCAAAGATTGGTTTTGCCGCTCAAACAGAACTTACATTCATTGCATTGAGGAATGTACAATGCAATGACATGATCGCCGGCCTTAAAATTGGTCACGCCCTCGCCCACGCTCTCCACAATGCCAGCGCCCTCGTGGCCCAGCACAGAGGGGAACAGGCCCTCGGGATCCGCGCCACTTAATGTAAAAGCATCTGTGTGGCACACACCTGTTGCCGTAAGCTTAATGCGTACCTACGAAATACATATGCATGCATAACTGTAATAGTTAGACTTTGACATCGTTCTCGACATACTTCATGTGCCTTTGGGGGTGCTACTTCGATATCTTCGATAACAAGCGGCTTTTTGGCCTCCCAAGCGACAGCAGCTTTGCATTTAATAACCTAAATGGAAATATACACACTTATGACTTATGTTTTAGTTAATTAACTTTTTAATTTTATACACACTTGGCCTTCAGTAGCGGACATCTTGCTCTTTATAATGGAAAAAACCCACAGCGACTGAACGTAGAGAAAAAGCTGAATAGCGAATGTTAGAGATGTGAGCAACCGGCAGTTATTTGCTGTTTCTTAGACGTCTGTCCTCTCTTTCTATTATCGCTCATTGTGAACTTAATATTGATGGACCAAAGTAAGTAAGACACAGTCGAGGGAATTAATATTTATAAAACTGTCCTACATTAATTTTAATACAGTTGTAGCGATTATCGATACTTTTCTTTGGCGCCATTCATGGCAAGCGCCTAAATTCAAAAATTCAAAAAAGATGGCCAACTATTATTTTTAGAAATTTAATAGTGTCATTTGAAATATTAATAATAATGAATATTAATAAATGAACACGAAGCTCTGATTATTAAAATAAATATACAACATAATTTTTTAATCTATTTGTTATCGATGTATGGCCGCTTTTCACGGCGAAATCATATAAGGCGAATAACAAAAATACCAAATAAGTTGCAAATAACGTTTTTGGTTTACATTCAAATCGTTGAATGTTTTACAACTATTAAGGTTAATATGATTTATAGGTTTTTCGTAATTGTTGTTAAAAGCAATCGCATCTTCTATTCTAAGCGGTTCGTTTGTATTATTGCTTTTTGTTTTATTAACAGCTGTTTGATTGCATTTTTAAACAAGTTGCTGCGCCTGCGTTAACTTTCTGTAAACATTATTCGCCCAACCCAAAAAGGCGGCAACGTCAAGGAACGCCAAATCAGCACAAGGACACCGAAGCTGTATGAAAAATCAATAATTACATAGCTACCCAAACGTACAGCCGGAAGTGCATTTTTATGCGTGTTAAGTTAACTGCAGCAGATAGAAAACCACTTTTACTGCTTAGTTGGCTTTAAAAATATGTAGTTTGTGCAAAAAACGTATATAGATCGAGTACAAAATGGTTGGAAAAAGCGCGTTGAGCGCAGAAGTGACAACAACAAAGGAACGCCCCGTTTTCATTCCGCCACGAAAACGTCAACAAAACAAAGCTGAGGCTAAAAAGCAAAACTATGTGGACCACATAGTTAATGTGCAGGTGAGTCTACCTAACATCTAACATTTTATTATAGTAAATTAGATTAATTGATATATACATATATATATTTATATTGCCTTTCAAATATATTTGCAGCAAAATAGAGCTAAGCTCTCGCCTTCCAATCCAGGTCTCGAGGAAGAGTTGCTCAAGTCGAAATTGATTATCAAAAATAAACAGCCGCTGCCTCAGCTGCCAGGTGAACAGGTTGACACAATTGCCAGCAACAACTCGGCCAGTTCTACACAGCAGAGCAATAAATCAACACGTTCAGCCAACAATCTAAATGAGCTGCAGAATTTTGAGTCCGTCTCGCAGGGAACCAAGTCGACATCACAGCGCCATGAGAGCAGTACCGTAACACCCAGTAGCTGTTGCTATTCGGAAAGCAGTCTGGATGCCAAGCTGAGCAAATCCCAAGATTGCCTCAGTCTGAGCAATCGTTCATCGTCGAAGAAGCGTGTTAACATACGCACCTCCGATTTGCCACAAGTGCGCAGCGGACGTGCCACGCCGGATATAGCCAACTATGAGGATCTGGAGTCGGGCGAAACAAGTGTGCTGAACACCTATGATCAGAGCCTGGAACGTTACCAAACTCGCAAGTCGGCCGGCGATGGCAGTAACTATTTAACTATGACAGGTGGGTACCAGGTTATTTTAAGTCATTGCACTTGAATTGATGGTCATTATCACTTTTTAGGCACCATTAAAAGGGGTCGCAAGAAGGGTCAGTCCATTGATCTACAGATAAATATCAGTCGCGAGGAACTGGAACAGCTCAATGCTCATGCCATGGCCAGTGAGTCGCACAAGGGTCAGAACCTCTGCTGCACTTGTAGCTGTGGCGTTGGTCTACACATCTTTCTCATCTCGCTGATCTGTTTGCCCTTTGTGACTATTATCTCGGCTGCTTACTCCTTTTACATTGGCACGTTGACCTGGTATAATATGTTCAACTACTACTGCGAGGAGAAGTCGTATTTGCATAAGATCTTCGTAACGCCCATATTATTTCTGGCCTATCCTTTGGCTATTGTCCTCTGCACCTTTGGCCTGGGCTTGTATTCGGGCTTTCGGCAACTCAGTCTGCAGTACAGCAGCTGGGTGAATGACATAACCGATATAGAGAAGGGTTTCTATGGCTGGTTGTGCGGCTTTTTACACATGTCCGATTGCAGCCCTTACGAGGTTGTCATTCTAACGGATATATGCGTGGCCCCACAAGATCCCCAGCGCCTGCACATCAATAAACCCAGGCAGGAATTATCGATGTAAAACAAAAAACCGGAAAAAAAAGTTTTTAGCAAAAAGCAGCGCAAACCGTCAAATCCGATTGAAGTGCTGGGTGCATTCATAAATTTATTGGGACAACCTTTTAGTTAAAATTTATCTCCCCATATGATTTGATAAGTCAATATATATGATTTATTCTATATATATGAATATATATATATGAATATTTATATATGAAACATATAATAGCAAGCACCGCAGTAGCTGACAGCATATCGAAATATTTTTATGACGGTTTCGATTTTCGACCATATGTGTGATAAACGTAATTAGAATCATAAAAAAACATCAGTTACTCAAATCGATATCTATATCATTGTGCTACGAGTACAGCAACAAAACTAAAACCGAAGTTCAATGCATTTAGTTCCGTTTTTGGCCAAATTTGTTCCTTTCATAGCTTTCTACTGCAAGTACATACAAATATTATGACTATCCAATTTATAGAGTCTAGAAATTAAGTTCCTTTTAATCTAAATCTATATATACGTATAATCAAATAGTATTTTCTATTCAATGTCAAAATTTAGTGTTTTTTGTTGTTTTTTTTTTTTAACTTTCAACTCAAGGCCAAATTTTAAGAAGGTATATATAGTTCAGAGATTACGATTGCATTTAAAGTTATATGCATTTATATTGATATAAACCAAAGTGAAACAGCGTAGTAGCTATAAAGCATTTCTTAAGCATAAGCGAGCAACTTTTAGTTTTAAGTACCAAAAATACAGCCAATACTAGAGTCTATGAGTCTATATGAATGATGTGCGATATAAGCAAATGTTTTTAAATAGAAATTCTAAAATGTAAGAGGTATACCTAATAATATAAAAAATGAAAAAAAGCTAAATACGAGGCGCTGAATATTATATACCCTGTCGGACATTTTTTATTGATTAAATATCTCCTATGAGTCGTGAACGATCTTGGATCTTAATGTAAATTTAAGTTAATGGACAAATAGTTTTTATACAAAAATCGTAAAATATTTTAAGTGCAATGATTTGTGTATTTTATTGAGTCTGGTTAAGATATATGTAAAGATATGACAAATATTTTCCTAAAAACAACAGCTTGGTTCTCGTCAGATCGTTCCTATATATGATATATTTATGATATAGGAAAGCGATCTAGCCGATTTTTCACTATGTGCTGCTTGCAATAATTCGAAATATGATCTGCACCAAAGTTTCAAAGACTGGTAGGCATTGAAACGATGTGTTGATCATGAATATATACGTACATATACATACATACTTACATATAGACGGTCGCTCCCATTAACGTGTTGTCCATGCCCAGAGACCAAATTAAAACAACCCATGCGGGCTTTAGTGCAAAAAAGTACATGCATCTATTAAATATTAAAATTACTTAATTAGTTCCAAAAATAAAGCAAAAAAAACTATAATTCAAAATGTTTTGCTAGCCTTTGTTATCATTTACTTGATGTGGTGGGGCAAGGCATGAAGCAGGGCGACTCTACAATACCCTGTTAAGTTGATGCTGACTATGACACTGACTTTATAGAACAATTTTCATACTTAGTTATTCGATCTTTTTGGCACACCTTAATAGGTGTGGCCAAATTTATTTTAAATGCAACGAAATTCCGCCAAATTAAACAGAAAAATAAAAATTCCTATGTATCATATATATATATATTTTTTTTAATATGTTTGTTTTACCCTGCATCTTCTTTGTATATGATAATATTTCTATTAAATGCCAATGGTAAGCATGAAACCAATATACCCATTAACATTGTGAAATGAGTACCATACACATTCATATATATGCACGTAAATTTACTCACACACGCATGCTTATACAAATAAACTGAAGGGAGATAGAAATAGAGCAACCGACACCTTGCATCACAAACACAAACGCAGATGCGCAAAAACAAGCCGAGCGAATTACATGAATAAACAGCTGTTAAAGTGCGCAGATAATGAGTTTATTACAAGTGTTATCTAAATTATTACTTATACTAATCCCAAATCAAAACATAATTTTAATTAATTTATTTGTTAGTTTATATATAAACAGGCATACATAGATGTTTATATTTAAATTAATACTTGCTCATGTTTCTGTCTGAGTATTTGTCTCGTGTATGGAGACAAACTTTTTATGGAGCGTTGAGAACAGCGGCGTAATATTAAGTTTAGTATCAATTGGGCGCTTGATACGTGAAGATTGTATTTGTCTACAAATAAAAATATTTAGACTCGGTATACATATTTGCAGATCAGTTAAAAAGTAAATACGTAAATTTCAAAATGGCTCAGGATAATCTTACGGCAGTCTTACATGGAATTAACGATTTGCGATTGGTATGCAAAGTTTTAAAAGATATAATGAAAATCTAAAATAATTCATTTCATGTTCAGGAGCAACGTCCGATACCGGAAATCTCTGATGAGGGTATGTCAGTAAAATTATCAACAACTATCGATTGCACACATAAACGAACTGTCGATAAATCGATATTAATTTAAAATAATTTTATCCAGAGGTTTTGGTGGCCATGGATAGCGTAGGAATTTGTGGATCAGATGTGCATTATTTGACTAAAGGTCGCATCGGCCACTTTGTGGTGACCAAGCCCATGGTAATTGGCCACGAAAGTGCAGGTGTGGTCGCCAAAGTGGGTAGCAAAGTTAAGCATCTGACTGTTGGCGATCGGATTGCCATTGAGCCAGGCGTGCCTTGCTACAAATGCGATCACTGCAAGCAGGGCAGCTACAATCTGTGTCCCGATATGGCATTCTGTGCCACGCCTCCCTACGATGGCAACCTGACCCGCTTCTATAAGCACGCAGCGGACTTTTGCTTCAAGCTACCCGATCATGTCACCATGGAGGAAGCAGCTTTGTTAGAGCCGTTGTCCGTGGGTGTACATGCGTGCCGCCGTGCTGGCGTGGGCTTAGGTTCCAAGGTGCTTATCCTTGGTGCTGGTCCCATCGGATTGGTTACGTTACTGGTAAATAAATGTCCAATTGTCTTATCAACTTAATAATATTGTTTTCTGATAGGTCGCTCAATCTTTAGGCGCCACGGAGATTTTGATTACGGATCTAGTTCAACAGCGTCTAGATGTTGCTAGAGAGTTGGGCGCTACACATACGCTGCTTCTAAATAAAGATAATACTGCGGAAGAAGTCGCGGATCGTGTGCGTCAATTAATGAGCAGTGAACCTGATAAGGCAATTGATTGCTGTGGAGCGGAGAGCACCACACGACTGGCGATCTTCGTAAGAGCAACCTGATATCTACTCACATATATTTGTGATGTAACTACGATTTTATCTTTTTACTTCAGGCCACACGATCGGGAGGTGTTGTTGTCATCGTAGGCATGGGTCCGCCCGAAATGAAGCTGCCTCTGTTCAACGCCTTAGCTCGAGAGGTAGACATTCGCGGTGTCTTCCGTTACTGCAATGAGTGAGTTAAAGCTAGGAACACATTTATTTAAATTTATGGATTAACAGATTTTCTATCGTAGCTATTCGGCCGCCTTGGCCCTGGTGGCCTCTGGTAGAGTGAATGTCAAGCGCCTTGTCACCCACCATTTCGATATAACTGAGACACAGAAAGCATTCGAAACTGCTCGGGATGGCTTAGGTGGTGCCATCAAAGTTATGATACACGTACAGGCTAGAAATACTAATAATCCAGTTTCATTTTAGCTTGCTTTCAAATATTACTGTTTAATTCAAAAAAACATTATTTCGACAATCAGCATTAATAATCTAAAAAATTTTTTTATCTTATTTGTATTTTGGTCCAAAATCCATATATATTAAACTGATCCACCAGTTATAACTGAGATGGAGAGCTGTCGACTACTGCGGAATATATTAAGCAGATTACCCAGAAAGCTTCATGATTATGGCCCATTCTCTACAATGATTCGATACTTGCACGAAACGAAAATGGACCTCGATCAATTGATCAAGGTACGCATGCGCAAACAATTGCTTTCCGAGGGCATTAAAACAAGTGATCAGAGTCAAATAGACGTAATCAATGATCCCATTAAGCAGCCAGTTATCGTGGAGATAGTTCCCAAACAAGATCTAGCTATAGAACAGCAAAAAAATATCAAAGGCAGTTACATCGTAACATTCAGAAAGTCACACGTGAGCGCCAACAAAGAAGCCGTTAAAATAAGCGGATTTATTTCAGTTACTAAGAATCCCTGAGTTGAAGCGACTGTGAAAAGTCTGCAGATTATCTGTTCGCTGTAATAGCTACAAAGGCGTACAAATCCTAATTTGTGTGCAGATATTCTTTACTAAGATTTAACTAATTGAATAATAGCAATAATATTTGCCATTGATTTTCGGTATCAATTTTTTCTTACGTAAAATTTTGAAATTTAAGGTATAATAAGAAAAGTTATTTATATTATATAACTTTTCTATTAAAATGTTGGCTTACATCGCGATATATACATATTTTGGGGCTACCACTGGCGCCAACTACAAAGTGTAGTTTGTGTCTCTTGCCTTGATACTTGGAACGCTCCTTCATATCGTAGTTTACTTATATTTTTTTATTAAACCTTCAAAGTCCCTTTGAATGCTGGAAATCACAACTAGAGATTTGGTATGATAATTTATAAATAAATAAAAGCAAAAAAAATCATAATCAGGCATGAATTTCTTTTAATGCTCGAACATTTATGTTAATTGTAAATGTCAATTTAATTGTTAATGCTTAGCTCATTGAGCTGCACTAAGCCAAATGGCTTTAAGTTGCTCTAATTATAGATATGACAGATAGATGGCGCTGTCTCATTGATGTAGTGGATTCCCTGACAACTCTAGCGGTTGATTCCCTGGCAAGTTGCCAGTGGTGGAGTGGTACCCTGGTGACGCTGAAGAATTCTAACCGATACGGCACTCGAGCAGGAAATTAAATTTAAGATAATGAAAGCCTGTTCAAAGTTAATTTGTTAATTAGATATAACTGATTGAATTACTTACATATCACATATTAAAATATAAAAATATTCCAATAGTCTTTTCACTCTGGCAATTAACATGAAAAATTTTACACATTTTGTAATGTTATATGCGTGTGTAGTACGTATATACATACTTAATCAAAAGCATGCCCGCACACATCAATAAAAACCTTGCTAATTCTAAGCAAATTTCTGATAAGCCCAGTGAGCTCTTATAGAAAACAAATTTAGCACTAGATTCGATTCAGCGTTCAAGCCGTGCGGACTTCTCCTAAACACATTATAATTGAAATTTTACAAAAACTATTAAAAATGGCAAAGGATAACCTTACGGCTGTTTTATACGGCATAGAGGACATGCGATTGGTACGACAGACTGAAAATGCAGAACAAAACTAAATTGTATCATTAAACTTTCTAATTCCGCAAACAGGAACAACGTCCAATACCGAATATTTCCCCTGAAGGTGAAATTCCTAACTAAAAGTATATCAATTAAAATAAAAATTTACTGTTACATGAATCTTCTTCACAGAGGTTTTGATCGCAATGGATAGCGTCGGAATTTGTGGATCAGATGTGCATTATTTGACTAAAGGTCGCATCGGTCACTTTGTGGTAACCAAGCCCATGGTAATTGGCCACGAAAGTGCAGGTGTGGTCGCCAAAGTGGGTAGCAAGGTAAAGCATCTGGCTGTAGGAGATCGAGTTGCCATTGAACCAGGCGTGCCTTGCTACAAGTGCGATCACTGCAAGCAGGGCAGCTACAATCTGTGTCTCGATATGGTATTCTGCGCTACGCCGCCTTACGATGGCAACCTGACCCGCTTCTATAAGCACGCAGCGGACTTTTGCTTCAAGCTACCCGATCATGTCACCATGGAGGAGGGTGCTTTACTGGAACCTCTATCCGTGGGCGTACATGCCTGCAAACGTGCAGGAGTCAGCTTGGGATCTAGGGTGCTTATTCTAGGTGCAGGTCCTATTGGATTGGTTACGCTACTAGTGAGTGGCTTTCGACAGCTATTCATTTTCAGTTCACGTCATTTTGATTGCTTAAGGTTGCTCAATCTATGGGCGCTACGGAGATTTTAATAACTGACCTGGTGCAACAGCGTCTGGACATTGCTAAGGAACTGGGTGCCACCCATACACTGTTGCTGAAGCGTGATGAGACGGCTGAGCAGGTCGCGGCCCGCGTGCATCAGACCATGAGTGGGGACCCCGATATGTCGATTGACTGCTGTGGAGCGGAGAGCACCACACGACTGGCGATCTTCGTAAGAGCAACCTGATATCTACTCACATATATTTGTGATGTAACTACGATTTTATCTTTTTACTTCAGGCCACACGATCGGGAGGTGTTGTTGTCATCGTAGGCATGGGTCCGCCCGAAATGAAGCTGCCTCTGTTCAACGCCTTAGCTCGAGAGGTAGACATTCGCGGTGTCTTCCGTTACTGCAATGAGTGAGTTAAAGCTAGGAACACATTTATTTAAATTTGCGAGCTAACAAATTCTCTATCATCGTAGCTATTCGGCCGCCTTGGCCCTGGTGGCCTCTGGTAGAGTGAATGTCAAGCGCCTTATCACCCACCATTTCGATATAACTGAGACACAGAAAGCATTCGAAACTGCTCGGGATGGCTTAGGTGGTGCCATCAAAGTTATGATACATGTACAAAAGAGGAATACCAACAATCCTGTAAAATGTTAGTTTGTAGATTGTAGTAAGCCATGAGCTTAAATTCCGAAAGCATGTCATATGTGGCGTTAACAGAAACAATAAATTTATTTGCTTGGTACAAAATTATTCGTTTGTTTTTTTTTTTCCAAATTGCTTGTATTTATATGAGCCAAGTTTCGGTCGTCTAAATTTGGACTCAAGCAACAAAAAACGGATAAAATGTCCAATATGCTATATTGGCGGTTGGCTCAACCTCTTTACACCTACTTATCCGTTAGGTTTGTTTGCTACCGTCCATTGGCTCCAATGATCCGATACTTGCATAAAGATAAAACTGGTCCTGATAGCGAATTCAAAAAACGACTGCGACAACGATTGCATAAGGCGATTGAAGCAAAAGTCGATAATCTTAAGGAAAAGCAGAGGGCATCAACATCCGGAACCCCAGCAGACTCTGCTAGCGCATCTAAAAAAGATGTTAAAAAAGTTAACCCACCACCTAGTATTAAAGTGATCGATAACAGTAAAAATCTCTATGGCATTGAGTACCCATCCCAAATGTATAAAGACTCTCAACCCCCACCTGAAACCAGTCCTGCGACTTTAAAAAAATCTAATGAAAAGGATGTCGGGTTGAACACGGACAAACCGACATTCGAAAGCCGTGCGAAAGCCTTTGTTGAATCTTCTATAATTAAGGAACAAGAATCTAAAGGAACACCTGATAAAAGCCGAAACGATGAAAACAAAAAAAATAGCCAAAAGAATAATCCTAACAATTCTGCGAGCACTTCAACATCAGTTGACTGGACAAAGATCTCCCCAAATCAAGATCCATTAAAGGAAAAAATTATCAAGCAAAACAAAACTGATTTAAAAAAATTAACCGCGGCTACGAAAAGATTGGAGTCTCAAAAGGAATTTAAGAGGAAAGACAACAAAACTCTCATTGAGTCGAAACCCCAAACTCCACGGGATGGATTGTTCAAACACAATGCTGATCCATATAAGACCAAGTTGCATGAGAAGAGCTATGAAAAGCCACCAACTGCCCAAAGTATGAAGTCTGGGTATGGGCCCATCTCGAAAAGCAAACCTATTGTAAATAGAATAGAACAATTATCTCAAGCAGAAGCGGAAGCGGAAGCAAAAGCAGCGATAGCGAATATGAAAATGAAAACAGAAGCGAAAGCGGGAATGAAAGCTGAACAGGTAGCAAAAGCAAAGTCCGAAGTCAAAGCAGAAGTGAAAGCAGAATCGAAAGCACAAGCGGCAGCGAAAGTGCAAGCAAAAGCGGATCCAGCTAAAGGGGAAACTATCTCCCAAGCAAACGTGAGCACTTCAAATGAAACAAAAAGCGGGAAAAGGCAAACTAATAACAGTGCAGGAGTAGCTCAGGATCCGAAAAATGCTTCTAGTAATATCAAAATCACTGATCGGAGGAATACCGCAGTTGAATCGGGGTCTGTAGAAACAGGGTCACAGAACAAAAAAGTGAATACCAAAGGTACATCTGAATCTGAATCTGAACAATCTGATATTATTTGTGACGCCGAAGGCAATAAAATGTTTGTCGGAGGTTCCGTAAATAAGTTGTCCAGAGGTGGGAATGAGTCTTCAAAGAACAAGCAGAAGCGGCTCAGTTTTAAGACACTGCAGTTTAAGACCAAAAATTATCTTGTGGAAAATAGATATTCTAAGAAGAAAGCTATATCTCCTAAAGTTGAAAAAAGCCTTTTCACAAGTAAGCCGACTCAAAGCCATATGGGGATGAAATTAAAAACATCAATCAAATACGAAATGGACGCAAAAAGGAACACTAAGAGCTTGAATAAAGATAAGGACGATTTATCCAAATGGAAGGACTTTCAGAGCGGACTAAGCAACCTGGATGTATCAACAAAATCCGAGAAAAAAATTATGTCTCCTAAGGTTGAGAAAAACCTTTTCACGAATAAACCTACTCAAAGCCAGCTAAAGATAAAAGCAAGTCCAGAAATTAATTCTGAAAGGGATCGAAAAGGAGGCTTGAATAAAAATAAGGATGGCTTATCCAAATCGAAGGTCTCTCAGAGCGGGCTAAGCAATATGGGCGTATCAACAAAATCTGAGAAGGAAATTACGTCTCCTAAGGTTGAGAAAAGCCTTTTCACGAATAAACCAACTCAAAGCCAGTTGGAGACGAAAGTAAATCCAGAAATTAAATCTGAAAGGGATCCAAAAGGGAGCCTGAATAAAGATAAGGATGACTTATCCAAATCGAAGGTCTGTCATAGGGGGCTAAGCAATATGGGCGTATCAACAAAATCTGAGAAGGAAATTATGTCTCCTAAGGTTGAGAAAAACCTTTTCACGAATAAACCTACTCAAAGCCAGTTGGAGACGAAAGTAAATCCAGAAATTAAATCAGAAAGGGATCTAAAAGAGAGCCTGAATAAAGTTAATGATGACTTATCCAAGTCGAACGTCTTTCAGAGCGGGCTTAGCAACACGAACTTGTCAGTCAAATCTGAGAGAGGGACTACATCTTCTAAAGTTAAGAAAAACATTTTTGTGAGCAAACCTACTCAAAGCCAGATTGAGACGAAATTGAAAACGGCGATCGGTAAAATCAAATCTGAAATGGACACAAATGATTCCAAGGGAGCATCATGCGACAAGACCAAAGCCACAAATTCGAAGACACAGCAAAATAAAGTTGGTTCCACCTCCAACATTGAGAAATGGTTATCAAGAGCTAGAGAATTAAAGGCTCACCAGCAACAACAATTTTCGAAGAAAAAAAGTCCAGTAGATATAATTAGAAAAGCCTTCAACGCAAAATATCCTCCTATTTCACCAGCCAAAGGTACTAAGAGCACTGACACAAAAGGCTCTAAGAGCAATACACCACCACCCGTCAAGGATTCACTTGAGTCGCTTGATCCGATGATATCGTCTCCCACTTTGGGGAATAAAATCTGTGATAATACTGTCAAGCCTGGAGAAATTCATTTAGTCGCATCGGGCAATATAGTTATAAATACGGCCCAGACTCAATTAAACCCTCTTCTTACTCCAGATAGTATCAACGCAGATTTAAATAAAAAAGACTCTAGCTTAAATAAGCCAGGTACAAATGATAGAAAGCCAAAAACTTCGCAAGTTGTAAAGCCAAAATTCGGATTCACAGTGCCGCTGAATTTGGAAGCTGCTGATGAAATCCCAAATAACAAAAACAACCCCGTTGAATCACTTCTTCAAAACGAGCTCAAGAACCCGCTGATATCAAAGGAAAACAATTTCAAAGAAAATCAAATTACAATAGCCGAAATCATCAAAAAACTTAGTCAAACATCTAAAAGAAAAGCAGATAGTATTCGAAGTTTAAATGAAAGTAGGAAGTCAAGAGAACAGCTCGAGCCCGTCAAAGGAAATCCCACTAAAACGTCTCCGACGGGAACAACAAACGACAAGTTCTCCAAAAAGCCAGTAAGTGAAAAAACATCCGATCAAATTTTATCCAGATCGATAACAAGTGATACAATTGTTAGTAAAATAGCAAGTGAATCTACTGATCTTGACCAAAGTGATTTCTCTACACCGTCCCAGTCGTTTGGCAATTCTGCTGAGGGAGAAACTGTAGCGTCTTATGGAAAAACACTGTGTTTTGCTTCTGAAGAGTGCCAGATTTCTAAGATCACAGCGAGTGCAGATATAGCCGATGTAGGAAACTGTGTAAGCGTCAATGATATTTTAGACGAGAGTAAGACTTTCGAATTTAAAAATATACCAATTAAGACAAATAGATTGTCAGATTATCATCTAGCGCCTGGCCAGCTACACAATTCTGAGTCAGAAGACGGAGATCGCACTGCACATATGTTAAGTGTTCAGGAGTCAAGAGAATTGAGCAGTTTAAGTCTCGAGGGCAATGCAGACCTCGATCGCTGGGGAAAACATGAAGCATTGATGAATGTCCCACCGAGAACAAAAGATGATACTGCAGAAAAGATGGCTGAGCTGAAAGACGAGGAAACTCAAAGTCAACCAGAGAAATGTTCAATGTTATATTCAAAAGCGAAAGACGAAGCAAGACGAAGAGTGACGGTCTTACAATATCTATGCCAGCTGTTCAAAGGTAAACGAAATGGCAACAACGATTCTGGTCTTAGAAATATCACAACTTCGGCGGTTCACAGTCGCAACAAAGATGTGGACGATTATCGTGCAAGCAACCAGATATACAAGAAATTCTTATCCAAGCCTAAAAAAACATTTAAAAATGATACTTTCGTTTCGCCAAATGTGAGGAAGCATGGTATGGGCTCTCAGATCTTGCGTGGGCAGCGAAAAAAAGTTGAAAAGCCATCCACTAATAAAGGGAACGATTCAAATCGTACCAAAAAGGCCACCGTACATATTAGTTCAGATACTAATCGGAAGCTGCCCACAAAACCAAGCCCCGAACAAGTTATAAAGAGCCATGAAAAAATAGAATTACCAAAGAACTTGGATAATTTAGCTGATACTGCAAACATTCCTGACGACTCTCCAATAAAATCAGAAGAGGAAAGTCCGACAGTAAAAATGAATACAAAGAAGGGAATTAGTGATATTCAAATTCAAGGTGGATCCAAATATGTCTTAAGAAAATTGAAAGCTAGCAGGGGCATGAGAAAAGACGGGGAAAGAGATGAGCCAAAAGAAATAAAATAAAAAAAAAAAAAAATATATATATATATATATATATATATATATATATATATGGGAGAACCTATAGATTGTAGGCCTTAAGCAGCGCTATCAACTGCTCGTCATTAAATAGCGATAAGCCTATGAACTCTACCAAGCACACCTATTTATTGGGCATTCAATGTCATATCGAGGTGAATGACAGCAGCTTTATATAGATTACCATAAGCTATAAATATATATATATATGTATACTTGACTATATATATATATATTTGTTCTCGTTGATAAGACAGACGTCATAAATACACGCAATGTCGTTTAGGTTATTTGTAAGTCAGCAAATTGCTGACTGCATATTTTCCACAAAGAATTCTTTTCCAGAGCTTCAAAGAAGGGACAATATTGATTAACATGCGACTGCCACAAGAGAAATCTATAGAATTAACAATAGAAACAAAAGAAAGAGTCAAGCCTCAATATATATTTCACTTTCACTTTTTTCATAGCTTAAGAATTCAATTAATTTTACTTCGGAATCAATTTATCAGTAATTAATTGTCATAAATAAAATAAGTATATAAAATAAAAAATGTCTTAATATTTCAGGCAAAGACCCAATACGTCATCTAGCATTACAACATATTTTATATGCTGATTTTTCTAAATAGGTTAATTGGGAAATCGTATATTTCATAATTTTACAGTTAGAGAATCACAATTTAGAGTTACTGTTACATTACGCCCATTGGATGAGGGATATTTGACGCAATGTTTGACATAACTAGATCGTCGTAGCTCGTCGTCCTGATCAAGAATATATATGTATATAAGAGTATTAATGAAATGTTAAGCATATGATCTACATAGTCTATTGATCATTTGTCAGTATTATTTGGAAGTGAACTTAAATTTAAAGAATTTAAGAAAATTTGTAGCCGGAATCCAAAATAAAACATAAAAAAATCTTATAAAATATACAAAAAACTAAATGCAAAATTTGGAAGCTCTAGTTTTTAAGCTGTACGAGATATAATTTAATAACTGCATTTCGATTATGTTTTTAATTGATAACAAACAAACGGAAGCCGTGGATCTGCCACGCCTCCTTCTGTCTTCTGTTGCATTTAAACAAAACTTGAAAAATGGGTAATCATTTTCAATGGGTTCAGCGTATAATAAATACCAAGAAGACATTAAGACAGGCTCGAAAAAATTGTCAATGTTTATGCGCTCTGTTGCAAGCAGCATTCCTCAAACGTTTGGCAATGGACTGATCAGAAAGATCGTAACGGGCATACTGACAACGATGCTCGTAAATAAATCTTCAATGGCGCACAACTTTCGATTGGGTGATTAGTGACCGTTGATCTTATAAGAGAAAACAAAACAGGGGAAGGATAACTTTGCGGCTGTTCTATGCGGTATTAACGACATGCGTTTGTTACGACAAATGGGAAAGCCAGCATAAATAAAATTTCGAACTATTAAACTCCTTTCTTCCACACACAGGAGCAACATCCACTACCGGATACCTCCCCAGAAGGTAAAGTTCCTTAATAAAAATATATCAATTAAAAACAAAATTCAGATATCTTCTTCACAGAGGTTTTCGTGGCTATGGATTGCGTTGGAATTTGTGGATCAGATGTGCACTATTTAACTAAAGGTCGCATCGGCTACTTTGTGATGACCAAGCCCATGGTGGTAAATAAAGATAATACTGCGGAAGAAGTCACGGATCGTGTGCGTCAATTAATGAGCACTGAGCCTGATAAGGCAATTGATTGCTGCGGAGCGGAGAGCACCACACGACTGGCGATCTTCGTAAGAGCAACCTGATATCTACTCACATATATTTGTGATGTAACTACGATTTTATCTTTTTACTTCAAGCCACACGATCGGGGGGTGTTGTTGTCATCGTGGGCATGGGTCCGCCCGAAATGAAGCTGCCTCTGTTCAACGCCTTAGCTCGAGAGGTAGACATTCGCGGTGTCTTCCGTTACTGCAATGAGTGAGTTAAAGCTAGGAATACATTTATTTAAATTTATGGATTAACAAATTTTCTATCGTAGCTATTCGGCCGCCTTGGCCCTGGTGGCCTCTGGTAGAGTGAATGTCAAGCGCCTTGTCACCCACCATTTCGATATAACTGAGACACAGAAAGCATTCGAAACTGCTCGGGATGGCTTAGGTGGTGCCATCAAAGTTATGATACATGTACAAAAGAGGAATACCAACAATCCTGTAAAATGTTAGTTTGTAGATTGTAGTAAGCCATGAGCTTAAATTCCGAAAGCATGTCATATGTGGCGTTAACAGAAACAATAAATTTATTAGCTTGGTACAAAATTATCCGTTTGTTTTTATAGTTTCCAAATTGTTTGTATTTATATGAGCTAAGTTTCGAACATTAAAATTTGGAGTCAAGCTACCAAAAACAGACAAAAGGTCCAATATGCTGCCTTGGCAGCTACCTCGCCCTCTTTACGCTATGTTTGGATGTTGCCGTCCATTGGCTCTGATGGCCCGATACCGTAATGAAGGTAAAACTGGCACCGACTGTGAGTTGAAGAAACGAGGACGAAAACGAGATCAATTGGTTAAGACTGAAGAAAACGTTGATAATGTTACGGAAAAGCAAAATGCTACCACTTTCAAACCCACACCAGAGTCCAATTTACGGCCTTTAAATCAAAACCAAGATATGAATGTCAAGTTATACTCAGGTGTTCACACATTGGGAGTAGGGGCGAAAGCCTTTGTTGCTATGGCCGTTATTAAGAAAAAGGAATCTAGTCGAAGATTATCTAAGCCTGAAATGCAAAGCACATGTGATGCGGCTAAAAGTGATCGAATATTTGAAACGAAAGCGGAATCCGAACTTGCAAAAAATCCAATAGTGCTCGAGGCAGAACGCACGACTTTTGATCAAAGTGAGAGCCTTAGGAAACAAAGCAATACCAACACAGAAGTAGGTAGAAGAGATAGCAAAATAATTGTCTGGAAGGGTAGCGCAGACCAAGAGGGATCGGAACAATCTAGGACCAAAATCACCAAAGAAAAATGCGGATTTGAGAATTTCACTGAAATTTTGAGAACCATAGTCCATCACGCACGTAAGCAATCCAAAACAATCTCCCACCCGGAAAGCATTAAAGTATCTATGAAAGGCAGATCAAATAGTTTTATTTATAAAGCTAGAGATTATTCCCTGAACTACAATTCGGGTATCAAAGTTGACGAATGGTTAATAAAGGCCAAGAAATTGCAGAACATACGTTCAGCCAGGAGGGCAAAAAGAGAAAAGGCTGAGCTTTTAGAAAAACAACGTTCACAGTCAAAAAGCTTATTTCGTTCACCCAAACCCAAAGGCGATGAACTCCACAACAGCAGATGATAAGGATTCGTCTTTACCCAGTTCCGATTTTAATCAAAATATACTTTTAGTCAAGATAGTATCAACATAGTTTTAATCAACTGACATCATGAAAGCCCGTTTTCAAGGTGAAAGATTGTCACAAACAAGAACTATCTTTTTTTTTTAAGTTTTTAAAGCGCGTATTCAGAATAAATAATTTTTATTAAAGATTAATTTTTATTTTGGAATACACTTTTAGCACACCAATGGATTGTTTAATTGATTAAATAAATTAAATAAAGATTATAATTATAAATATATTTGTATTAGTCGATGCTGATGTGGAAATCAAGGCATTTCTCTATTTTCTTGTTTATTTCTTTTGTTTATTACGTGTGCATGAAATTTCCGGACAGCAATACATCCAAATGTTTGTTCGGACTTAACTAATCCCACACGACGACGAATCTAATATACACTTATGAAAATATTGAAACATTTATCATAAATAGAATGTAGTTAAATTCTAGTCTTGTATGTCAATGCCTAGCAGTAAGACGATAAACTAGTAAGTTTCCTGTTAGAAGTACCCGCCAGGCGATACCCTGCACAATATCTTATCTTTATGTACAATATTTTTGTCTAAAGCTTGTAATACAACATAAAAAATAGAAAAGGAAATACTAAGACTCAACTTTACTTTAACGGACTTAAATGCAATTTTTTATCCATAAAATATTTATCAGTTTAGAAAAAGTCACATAGAACTGAACTTAAATGGAAAGAATTAGTCGAAATTTGCAGCCGATACCTAAAACAAAATAAAAATAAAAATTGTGTTAAATATACAGAAAACTAAATATAAAATTTGGAAACTAGGTTTTAAGCCGTACGAGATATAATTTAATAACTGAATTTGGAACATGTTTTTAATCGATAACAATGTAACGGTTATCGATTACTCAGCTTGTCGTCCATCTCAGAAATATATATACTTTATGGGGTCTGCCACGCCTCATTCTGCCTGTTACATAGATTTACACAAAACCCTCATACCCCAAGCTCAGCTATAACTATATCTCTGGTCGGTGGTTCGAATGTAATTTATAATTAGAAATGTATTCATAAGTTGCTCATAGTTGAGTATTTGAAAGGCAATAGATGTGGCAGGCTAGGTAACGATTGTCATAATTGTCATCTTAAGTGTTTAGGAGTGCTTTAGAAGTCATTGTTTGTTTGAGTACAGTCTGGGCCAGACCTCAAAATTTTTAGTAAAAAGCCATTTTTTTTTATTTATAGCCCGGTATTAACATGTTTACGCGGACTATTGTAAGCTGCAATCCCCAAGGACTAGCGAAGTCATGCAGCTCTTGTATGCAGCCAGTTATCACGTTCAGCAATTCCTTGTTTTGTAATGGACTCATACAAAGGCTTGACAACTCCCAAATTTCCTCGCGGACAGTATCTACTGATCAAACTGATGAATCTGTTATTAGTAAGTGGGGTCAATTGATTTTACGGGAAGCTTTAATTTCATCTGCACACACGTACACACACACGCAGATAGTAACAACTCAAATGGGAAAGCCACTGGTCAAAGACATGACAGTAAGGTTGCCGCGAAAAGCAAGACTCTCCCACGTAAATACAGGGTGTCTTGTCAGCGCTTTTATGCAGATGATTTTAGACGTCGGGATTTGGGATCAATTTCACAGAGGCGAAAGGAACTGATTGTTCGACAGAGCGACGAAATGCTGAACGAACTGGAGAGCCTGAGAGTTAGTTGTGAAAGTTTGGTTCAACAGCATCCGAATGCTAAGTTGGTCGAGCTCGAAGATTTAAATAGTGAGGCAAGAGCTATTGTTGAGATATGTAAACAACTGAAACAGCAAGATGGCGAAAGAAATGTGTCTGACTTAAAACAATCGAGCGCTGAATATCCGTGGCAAACTAAATTTTCAGTAGATTCACAAGATAGGGTCAAGCAATATAAACAGAAAAGGCAACACATTTGGAAAAAGCAATGTAAAGCGTCGGCAAAATCAAAGTCAATTCAGATAAAAAACGTAGCTGCTAGTGGAGATCAGCAGCTTGAACAGAGAGTTAAGGAGGTGGCCCAGTATGAAGATTCCGATCATTCTACCAAACAGCAAGCACAAACGAATAAGCAAATCGATACGGACATACGCGACATTTTTAATCACCTGCAGAAAGTTAGGATCGAAAAAGAGCATTTCATAAAGCAATGTGAGGTATTGTCAAGGCTCCAAGAGTTGAAGCAACAGTGCAGAAAATTAGCTTACATGGTAAGGATCAAACCCAAGGTGGCTACCTCTAGCACAGATCCAGAGATGCTTCGTCATCAGTGCAGAGAGATGTCACGTAAGGCAAATAGTGGAAAAGACGGTGAGGATGGAGACGATGATAAATGCCAGGAACTGGCTTTGAAAAAAAAGTGCGCCGAACTTGCAAAGGGGAAAGGGAAAGAAAAATGCGAGGAAGAGGACGAGGATAAGTCCAAAGAGGCGAAGACAGAAAAAGGTAAGAAAAATGGGGACAAGTCCAAAAAAGCGGAGAAAGAAAAAGGCAAGAAAGAGGATGCCAAAGGCAAAGATAAGAAAGAAAACGGAAAGGAAGAAAAATCCGAAGAAGAAAAATGCAAGGAAAGGGAAAAGGAAGAAGAGAAAGCCCTAAAAGAACAATGCAAAAAAATGGCTAAGGAAAAACACGATAAGATGTGCAAAGAATATGAAATCAGGGAAGAGTGTGCTAAGCTGTTTGCAGAAGAAAAAGCGAGGAAGAAAAAGGAAGCGAATCAAAAAAAAAGCAAAGAATTTGAGCAAAGGTTGGAGTGCGAAAACGAAGCAAGGAAAGAAAGAGAAAAGCAAAGGAAAGAGGAGGAAAGGAAATGCGAGGAGCTAGCCCATAAAAGAGAGTGTGCTAGACTAGCTGCGGAACAAAAAAAGAAGGAAGAAATGGAGGAACTGGAAAGAAAATGCAAAGAGAGGCAAGAAAAAAAAGAGTGCGGAAAGTCTGATAAAAAGCCAAAAGACGAGAAAGATGTCAAGGGTAAAGATGCCACAAAGGGTAAGGATGCCAAGAAGGTGAAAGACAACAAGGAAAAAGATACCAAAAAAGATAAGGGAAAAGTCAAAGAACAGAAAGCAAAAGCTGATAACAAAAACAAACAAAACAAGCTGATGGCCACATTTGAAGAACTCAAAGAACATTGTAGAAATTTGGCAAAAATAGCGAAAGCTAATTGCAAGAAGGGTGCACCCTGTAAAACGGAGCATATTGAAAAAGAATGCATGGCAGAAGGCCAAAAAGAACTGTGCGCTGCTAAACTGAAAAAAGAGGACAAAAAGGGACAGGAAAAAAAAGCAGATAAGGGAGGCGACAAAAAAGACAAGGGCGCGTCGAAAGCGGGCAAAACTGATGGCAAACCTCAGAAAACTGATGGTAAAAAAACACCTGAGCAAAAAGCAATTGAAGAGAGGGAAGCGAAACTCAAAAGATGCAGAGAGATATTCGAAAAAGACAGATGCGAAGCAGAAAAGAAAAAGCAGGAAGAATGCGCTAAATTAGAAAAAGAGGGCACTACGTCATGTGAAGACAAAGGCGCTACGGAAGGTAAAGATGAAGGCGAAAAATTCGATGAAGAATGTGCTAAATTATTTAAAAAAAAAGAGGAAGAACGCGCTAAATTGGCTCAAGAAAAAGAATGCGCTAGATTGGCTCAAGAAGAAGAATGCGCTAGATTGGCTCAAGAAGAAGAATGCGCTAGATTGGCTCAAGAAGAATGCGCTAGATTGGCTCAAGAAGAAGAATGCGCTAGATTTGCTCAAGAAGAAGAATGCGCTAGATTTGCTCAAGAAGAAGAATGCGCTAAATTGGCTCCAGAAGAAGAATGCGCTAGATTAGCTGAAGAAGAAGCAAAGAAATGCGCTAAAAAGGCTCAAGAAGAAGAATGCGCTAGATTGGCTCAAGAAGAAGCGTGCGCTAGATTAGCAAAAAAAGAAGAGGAGGAATGCGCTAAAAAGGCTCAAGAAGAAGCATGCGCTAGATTAGCTAAAGAAGAAGAATGCGCTAAAAAGGCTAAAGAAGAAGCAGAGAAATGCGCTAAAAAGGCTGAAGAAGAAGAATGCGCTAGATTGGCTCAAGAAGAAGAATGCGCTAAGCTGGCAGAAAAAGAGAAGGCAGAAAAGGAAGAGAAAGCCCTGCTTGAGAAATGTAAAGAATTGGAACTACAAGAACAGTGCGCTAAATTCGCTGCAGAGCAGAATGAAAAAAAGCTCATGAAGCAATGCAAAGCACAAGGCGACAATGAAGCAAAGAAATGTAGCAGTGCTAAGAGCCGAGCCGATCGTAAAGCAGATGGCATAAAACTGAGAGAAGAATGCAAGAGAATAGCCTCCAAAAAAAATGACTCCTGAAGTGTGCAAACTTTTGGACTTGTGTTAGCAGATTCCGTTTTGTATGCAGATTATAGCGAACATTTCCTAAACAACCCCAAATGCCATTGTTCAAGCCGCATAAAATTTCAGAAGAAACCTTGAAAATGTGTTATAGACCCACAAGAGAAGCTAATACTGGTGAAATATGTAGGCAATTTTATTCAAAATTGAAATGGAAAAAATCAATCCTAACAGCTCCACTCCTTGCCACGCTTTAATATCAGATTCATGTATTTAACTGATTTGGACCAAAACTTTCAAATACATGAGTTGTAGTTTAAATTGAAAATGTAATTCTCGCTTTATTTGTAGGGCAGACGAAATGGACTCGTGACAAAAAAAGCAACCATCGATACTATCGATTGTAGGATTACTGATTTGCTTATCGATGTTAAAGTGTGATAATGAATCTTCAAATCCAAAATTAAAATTTTCGCTTGTAATTCAATGCAGCTAGTGGGAAATTATTGGATAATAAAATTGCTGAGTGAACCTGGAGGTCATTGTACGATCTCATTGTTGAAGTAGCAATCGATTGAAATGCGGCATAGTAATATGCCCGCTTACAACAGCTCGTTGATTGCATTCTAATTAAAAAAAGACGGTACATATGTTTGTATGGAGGGTAAATATATTTTCAAAAGTTAACATCGGTTCATTACTTGCGGTAGTTCACATCTCATGCTACAAGTTTCCACGTTTAATAACCGAGGCACGAACCATACTTGCTATCAATTTGATCCGTTATCCGATACCGCCCCATTTAATTATATATTAATAAAATATAATTTAACAATCTTTTATTTTTTTTGTATAAATCAATAAATGTGTGGAAACCACTGGCCAAATTAGAATTTGAAGCAACGCCAGCGAGAAGTTTAATATAAATCTCTCACAATGCTAGCGCTACCAATTGAAAATTGCTGTTAGCAATTGGCATTAATTTTAAAACTACATACAAAGCATTAACTTGCAGATGCAACAGCTCTCTTATACTTTGCACAAGTAAGAATTAATATGCAATGCTATGTAACAATACAATTATCAGTAATTAAAACTTAATTGTATGTTTTATACCAGCAAGACTCAATGTTTGTTATACAGTACTAAATGCTTGTGAAGACAATTGCAACGTATTTACACACTAAAGGATCTGCTGACCAGTAAAAGCTACTCGCGATTTACACTACATCTTAGTCCACTTTTAAAACTAAACAAATTTTGAATGCTAGTCAACAGACAGATCCAGCTTATCCAACTCACAGTTTATTGGCAGTGAGTGTTAGAGGTGGCTTAGGTGGTTCAGAAGCACCAGTTATTGATTTATGATCAGCACGCTCCTGTTCTGACAACCAGGCCATCTGCAAGAAATTATATGTATAATTTTTTTGGTTACATGAGAAAGTGTTTGTCACTCACTTTTTGTTTATGTTGCTGTGCAGCATCACTACATCTATCTAGAACCATTTTTTCTGTTAGCACACCGTCCTCGGAGGCGTATACAGCAGCTTGCCAAGCGACACCTAATTTAGATATCTCACGACCCGACATACCTTCACACATCTCTGCCATTTTAACACATGTCTTGCCATAATCAAATGTGTCTAGCTTAAATCGCCTGGAAATTGAGGGTTATCAAATAATTGTACCGGTCTGAATATATATGTTGTACTTACTTTGCTCCCGATGCTGCTGGTTGTAGGACATATTTATCAAAGTAGAGGCGCAGTAACCGCTCTCGTTCTTCAAGACCTGGCAATATAAACTCTACCATCTCATCCAGGCGATCGTTAATTGCATAATCAAACTGTTCCGGTGTATTGGAGGCCAGTACAAGCATAAATTTCGGATTCTGCTCGGATGTTCTATACAAGAAAGCATTCAATGCAGCGCGTAAATCTTCGGAAATTTTTTCCGACGAGCGTTTGCGCAGAAAAGCATCAGCTTCATCAACAAACAGTAAAAGCCCACGCCTTGAGGTATTCGACCAGTCAAATACCTTATGTATGGCTGTGACACCTTCTTTACCCATGGGCGCCACATCACCGCCAGTCATTATAGCAAAATCCATGCCAGAATGTTCGGCTAACTTTTTGGCAAACATTGTTTTGCCAGTTCCAGGCGGTCCGTGCATCAACACATTGCGATAGAGACCGCGATTGATGCGCGTGTTTTTCGTGGCAATTGCAATGTCACGCAAACGTTCTTCCAGTTTAGGATTTAGCACAACGCCTTGCAGGGCATCAGTAGGCTTCGAGCGCAACCGTTTAATATAGTTCAACGGATGTTTAAGTGCATCTAGAAATGCAAAACGTGATGTTTCACCTACAAGCGTTGGTTTGCCAATGCGTGCTTCAATGTAACGTGATATCACGCCAGTTGCACCCTTGGCACTGTACACTCCCAAGGCTAGCAACGACAATCCGCCAGCGGCAGTCAAGACCTTATCCCAGTCGGTCAACATCGCCTCAGCACCAGCACCAATTACTGAGCCAGCGGTTCTAATAATTAGTAGAAATTATGCAAAATGCCCAATTTCATATATGTTTACTAAAAACTTACTTTATTCCCTCCAGCACGGTGGTACGGTGTTCTTGTGCTTTCAGGCGAATCTTCTCCAGATTGATATCGCGATTCTCGCGATCTACACGAGCCTTAGCTCGCAGCTCATGCTCAAGCAACTTTAGGCGATTTTTTTCCTTCATTTCAATTTCATGTTCAATGGTCTGACGCCTCATTGCTTCCTGACGCTGCACACTCTCCTCCTGTTTGCGTAGATTCTCCTCCTGAACACGCTGTTGCTGCACCAACTGATCTTCATAACGCTTGCGCGACAATTGATCTTGATATTGTGCACGTTGTTGCTGCTGCTTAGTTTCTTCGATTAGCGTCTTGCGTCGCTCCTCGTGATCAATGCGTTTCTGTTCCACTTTTGCCTGTTCAATATGCGCTTCATATTCTTTTACTTTGGTGGTATACTCCTGCTGTCGTGTGCTCTCTTGCATCTTGGACAATTCCAGAGCTTCCCGCGCATGTCCTGAAATGTGTCATGTAATAGTAAATATGCATACACACGCACATAGCTACTTTATTCAACATTGTACCATCGGTTATGCAATGTGCGCAACCGATGATGAAATTTTTTAATGTATGCTTCGTTAACGCTTACTTGAACGCTCGAGTGTCTTGGCCGCATCTGCGGCTCGCTCCAGAGCCGAGGAATCAAACCGATAAGCTTCCATGGCCTTACGTTCGGCCTTCGTAAGTTGTGTGTCGTTACCACGTTCGCCGGCAGTTTGACCCTCAGGTTTGTCAGGTCCATCTACTCCACCACTAAACTCCGTCGGCTGTTGACGATTTCTACCCAATAACCATGACATGTTGCTATGTTATTCGTGTTGACAATGTTGACACCCACTCAAAACGTAATTTTGTCACAATAAATTCACGAAATATACTAAAAATAAATTGTACGAGTTTTTTTCAAACCCACATTCGACAACGTGATTTTAGTAGTGATGTAAGAAACACATCGATATAAAATTTTACTGATAGTTTCTTGATGTATCGATGAGCCGTGATCAATAGTTAAACAGGGTGAACAGCTTCTGAAAATAATACATAACTTTATAAATAATTCATATGCAACAAATCAAAAACTCATTTATTATTATTTATTTCAAAGATTTATAATTTTGTTCTTTTGTTATTCAGAGGTTACTTGACTTTTCGTGATTGTTCATTCAATTATTTTAAGAATAATCGTTTTCTAACAATTTATATCTATAGGGAGTAAATGGTTACTTTGAGCTATGTTGGGATAGTGTAATCGTTTTGATAGTCGCCGTTACTTAGTTGCGAAATGGAAAATATAACACATCACTATTGCAATACCTGTTGTCCACAAACATTTTGCAGTTTAAAATTTTTTTGAATTATCTTCAAATTTTAAATTAAGCAGAAAACCATGTTTGAGCGTAACCAAAAAACTATATTTGTGTTGGACCACACACGCTATTTCAGTATTTCTAGTGAGCAATATATATCAATGGACTATTTAAAAGGTAAACCGGTGCCCGAGTCTACAGCAAGCGGCAATAGCATAGTTGGAACTCAGCTAAGCAAAAGCTTATGGACATGTGCTGTCGAGTCATCCATAGAGTACTGTCGCATTGTTTGGGATCTATTTCCTGGTAAAAAACATGTGCGATTTATTGTCTCTGATACGGCGGCACATATAGTCAATACCTGGAGTCCGAGCACTCAAAATATGTCGCATGTCTCTAACGCTATGATGATGGTAAGCGTCCCTTCGCGCAGTATTCCTCAATCATCCGACTATTCGGTCATACATGGATTACGAGCTGCCATCGAGGCATTAGCCGAGCCAACTGATGAACAGCTCCAGGCGGCTCATTTCGGCTGCAAACAAATTGCCAATGAGGGTCGAGTCATCTGCATCACTTCGGCGCGGGATAATACCAGCATGAAGAGTAAGTCAAATCATCTGGACATTTATTGAAAGAATTGCATTTACCCGATTGCTTTTCCATAGGCTTGGAAGACATATTCAATACTGTACTCCTACAACAAAACGCATTGGTTGCACCACCTGCCAAGAAGGGCTTGCAGATAGATCATTGCCATCTAGTCATACTAAATATTGTTCCATTGGGAGTGGAATCCTTAGTGACTAATCGAAGTCTGCTCGAAATATCTCCGTTTCTTAATGTTGAAATACACACAGTTAATGCACCAGACATTTCGGATAAGCTTTTGCATTTAATAATGGGTCACTACGATTTAGCCAGCACCACAGTGACTAACATACCTATGAAAGAGGAACAAAATGCCAATTCCAGCGCAAATTATGACGTTGAAATATTGCACGAACGTGCCGCCCATACAAAAGTTTGTGGGCCGGATTTTAATTTTACTACCAGTATTAAGCCAGGTACTGCCTACGAAACAGTAACGCTTAAATGGTGCACTCCGCGTGGCTGTGGCTCTGCCGATCTGCAACCGTGTGTGGGCCAATATAATGTTACGCCCGTAGACGTCACTTCACGTCCCAGCTCTTGTTTGATCAACTTTCTATTGAATGGCCGTTCTGTACTGCTGGAGGTGCCCCGGAAGACAGGCACTAAGACAACCAGTCACATGCTTTCTGCACGAGGCGGCGAAATCTTTGTGCACTCCCTATCTATAGCACGCTCCGCAATGGACGAGGCGCCCTCAATCATCGATGGTCCCGGTGGACGGGTCTCCGACTACCGCATACCAGAAATGGGTCAACTGCTTAAAATGTCGCGCTTGGTGCCACTAAAGGCCAAGCCCAAGGGCAAACTCGCTCAAGGAGAACATCTATGGAGGCGGCTACCGCGATACTTTCCCAGAACTGCAAATGTTACTATTCTGTTCAATTTGCAACGACAGCTTAGCTGGCTGCCACACTTTCTGCATTTGATAGTTAAGGAGGATATGGACAAACAGGACGAGGTACGCTGCCAACAGCAAATCCATGAGCTATACAAAAGCGCATCCCGCGGCGACCTGCTACCCTTTAGCAATTCAAATAACGCACGGTACGCAATAGCCAACTTTCTAACTAAAAAGTTTGAAGTATTGAAATTAAAATATTCATAAGAATTATAAATCTATGTTACGCACCCTTGCAGCCTAAAGGTAAGCAAGACCAAGGACCAGTATAGACTATTCTATAGAGAACTGGAACAACTAATTCAGCTTAATGCACATACGCCGCATCACAAGAATCTGCTGGAAAGTCTTCAAAGTCTGCGTGCGGCCTACGGAGATGCTGCGAACAAATCGGAGCCAAGTTCTGCCCATTTGCGCTCGTATACCGAATCGCCATTGTCACCCGAACGCCTTGAGCCGACCAATAGTATGAGTAGTTCTTCCAGCAGTATATTAAAAGCTAGCAAGCGACGCATGTCCAGCTGTGGACAACGGTATGTTCTGACTTGAGATTTGTGTTGTTTTTCAAATGAAAACTTGTTTCATATCTTGCAGATCGTTGCTTGACATAATTAGTTCAGCCGAACGGAGTCAATCGAACAAACGCTTGGATTTTTCAGGACGGCTTTGCACGCCCTTGGGCCAGACGGCAAAATTATATCCTGATTTTGGGAATAAGGAAAAAGATATTCTAACTACTGGCATTGTTTCATCAAATTTAAAAGACGAATCAATCCGTAGCTAGCTGTATCGGTAGAATAGACTTGGCAACTATAAGTAGGCAGATTGAAATTTTGATTGATCATATCTCGAGCGATAATAACAATTAACATTCATAGTGTTTTCCAGAAAGAATGTTTCTAGCCTAAGCACTCTGTTAATTTTACGTAGGAATATTTGGTAGAATAAATAAGAAAATTTATATAAACAGAATATTTTAAATTGATCGTTTTGTTTTCTTTTAAATACAAAATTATTAAGTTAAAGAATGGCCAATAATAACACAGTCACCAAACTCATTAATGTAAGCGAGGAGGCAGCGCCAGCAGTCCATAGTGAGCTTTACCAGTAGTCCATCACAATGGATTAGCACAAATAAATTCGTAATTCTTCTGCAGTTCCCGTTCAAGTGGGTAATGAGTTGTTTGTGGTTGTTCAACAGGACATAAGACGGATCGAGGATATACGTCAAATAAGCTATAATCGCGTGCTTTCCAGTCATCACATACTCCCCATGTTCACTCAACTCAATGCTAATGTTTTTGGCACCTGTGCGCCAACTTCGCAATCTTTCATTCCATTCATTTCGCCCAGTCCGCAACAGAATACTTCCATCTTTTCAGCTGCTCCACCATGCGGTTTGAACGACGTTGATATGGAAAAGCAGCCCTCGCAGATTGTGGCGAACGTATCTAAGCAAATATTTTGGTCCAAACAGTCCAAGTCAACTTCACCATATCCGATACGTTACAGCATTACCACATCGACCACTGAACTTCAAGAAAAGAAGCCGATTGACAGCGGGAAAAACGCTGAAGATAAAAAACATTGTAGTTGCCAAACATGGTGTAAACCTATTGGCACTTCATGCAACAGAGAAACGCAAACCAATGCGCAGGCAAAAAACGAGGGGGAATCGACGAATCCCAAAAAAAATCGATCCACTCAAAGCCTGCAGAAGAAAATATCTGAGCAACCTTTGCCCAAGCAGCGTCACAGTTAATGCTCCCGCCGATCGAAATCCATAATAAATATACCGAAGGTTACTGTTTCTAATCCGCTCTGCAAGGAGAAGCAGGCAAAAGAGCGACAATCGAACGAGGATCAAGACTAGAAGAACGATTTCTTACAGCAATTCGTTGGTCACTCTTAAAATATTTTTGTTTTAACAATTGGGTCTTTTAATTTTATGCCTTGTAAGTAATCCAACTCTAGTATTTACATATTAACATAATGCACTTAGTGATTTACTTTTCGTTAAGCGCTTCTTTGGGCCAGTTAGATTGGTTACTGGCTCTTTTTTCTTTTTCTTTTGCGGCTTGTACGATTCACTCTGGTCATTAAAATAACGCTTGGGCTTATTGTGATTCCGTTGTTCACGCTTCAATTGATCCGGTGTGGAAATGCGCAGATAAAAGTCCTTAAGCAGCAACTTGAAATCCTCGACTAACGTATCCCTCACCACTTGTACTTTCCCATTAGAGCACGGCGTGGACGCTCGTAGCTCGTTTACCTTGAAGGGTTTGGGTGCAAATTCAGAGGCTGGTCGCCACACAATGGCCAACTCTTTACCGCCATGAGGATTGTAAAAAAAAGCAGCGTATTCGGAATAAGCCGACTGGGAGAAGAAATAAAATATTGATTAAAAAAATGCTATCTAATTGTGTATTTCCAAAGCTACTTACTCTCAGTTGCTGCACAATCTTGGCCAGTTGGTCACTGCCCGCTAGTGGCAAACGAAAATTGCGTAGACTGATAGGTAAAAATGACGACCCTAGATCGTAGCACAGAGTATTGGGCAGCAGATCTGGTTTAAGCTCTATGACCAAGTCATAACCATCTCCGGACGCCATAAACAATTGGGCGGGCCTTACAAATCTGATGGTCGGCGACATCAGACTCGACTCGATAAGCTCCAAAGCGTGGCGTGCCAGGATTGTCACTCGACCCAAAACCGGCTTGCTGGGGCACTCTTCGGTAGTCCACAAACGACCTGCATGCTGCTGATCATAGGCCGTGGCCAGATACAGGCCTGGATAGCTGTCACGTTCACTGCGATAGCTGTGTTCCAAATCCGTAATTTGTTGCTCTGCAAAGTTAAAAATTAGTACGTGATGTGGAATATGCAACAGATTGAAAGTAGCTTACCTGTCCAGGTATTGTTGAAATTAAGCAAGAACATTTCGCTACCCCAGTCGCTGTGAGCAAGTAATTGCAGGAAACGAATGAACCCCGTTTGAGGGGCGACAGTTGGGTGTGGCGTTTGTCGCTGCTGGAATAGATGTGCCACCAGTAGTTCTGTAGCTATGGATGGCCACAAGCCATCATCGAGCAGCTGGGTGGCTAGCCAACGCTTAGCAATGAGCACTGTAGGTCCAAATGTGCTTTGTGATTGATGCAGCGCATGCAGAGCGCCACTTACTCTGGGTAATATGTAGTGACGTCGCTCAAGCTCGCGGCTAGCTGGATTGTCCATATAGGTTGTCACACCACGCTCCGTTTGCTGTTGCTTCAACAGCGCCAGCTCTTTACTGTGCGCAAGCTCTAAGAGAAAACAGTAACCCTGCTTTAGTACCAACAAGCCCTCTTTACATAGATGGGAGTGGAGGTGTTGCTGTTCCTTGAGTTGCTGACCAATTTTTATTAGGAAGGCGGTCTTTAGGCTGCGTAGAGCTCCCAATTCATTGGGCCATTTACCACTCGGGCTCAGCTGAATGATCACACGTAGCACGTGACCGGCATGCATGCGATCTGACACAAGACGGGCCTGTGGTAACAAAGGCTGTGGCTCGCAATAGCGAAAGACAGGTGAAATACCAGATATCGACACTATATCCAGCGGCAGGTCCTCGAGACTGTGCAGCTGCCGAGCCAGTGCATCGAAGCAATGGATGACATGCGGTGTCAATGCCTCAGCGTCGGTTTCCTGTACCAATTTTAGTTTAGTTTGTAACTTGGCCACCTTAAAAGACGGCGTAAGAGAATATACAACATCTAGTTCACTAGCAATGTACTGCACATCGCTAGAATCTAGCTGCAGATGTTTCTCCAGCAGATGTAACACTATATTTCGCACTATCAAACGCTTTTGGCTGGGAGCATCTGTTGCGGCAGCCCAGACAACTGCTTCCGTTATGCTGCCGTCCTGGAAACGTCGTAAATTGGATTTATCTCCCCAGAATTTACGAAATTCGGCAGCACCATCGGGATCCTCATTTGTCGCCGGTCCCTTGTCCAGCACTTCGAATGCGTGCTCTGGATCAAGTATGAAGCCTAACGTCAAACAGTGACCGATAGCCGGCGCCTTACTGTCAACTGTCCAGGATTTGGAAGGTACTTCCAATGGTACGATCGCATGGACACGTTGCCCCAGACCCTTCTGCAGTAAACTGTCCAAGAAATGTCAAATAATTAGTTTCTTTTGACATCTTCATAAGATCATTACTCACTCTGTCAACAATTTGAGCAACTGCGGATGGGCATAGTTGGCATAGTCGTACTTGACATGCGGCTTAACATGCAACTGAAGTAGCTGGTCCACGCTGGCTGGATTCGTAATCCTTTGCAACAAGCATACAGAAACTTTAATTAGTTCGATATATTGCACAGATAGTACCAGGGTCACTTACTTGAGTATGTTATCCATTCGCATGTACAACGGAGATTTTTGCATGAAAATATGCGAAAAACTATTAACTTTGACATCATTTAGCAATTCAACGGCCAGCTTCGCCTCTGCACAAACGGCTTTATAGACAGCGAGCGGCAGACTGGCGCACAGATTGTAATAGCCGGTGACATCCATGAAGCACACATCGTAGTAGCCGGCTAAGGTGCTCAACTGGTGCGGCTGCTGTTGGCACAGTGTAATGCCTTGCGTCCAATCACTGTTGGCCAGCTGATTCCATACGGTGCGGGCTACCTGGTAGCTGCTGCTTGACTGATGAAGCAAACGATGTTGCTTTAGATACACTATGTAGGCGGCTATAATGTGAGCACTAAAGCCACTGAAGCCCACATCTAGCTGACGTTGGCGTAGCCACACTTTAAGCAAAAGCAAACCATCCTGAAAGTTGCGGTGACCAGTGAATGTGCTCTGCAACAACTTCTGATTCTCAGCTTGCGTTAGATCGAACAGCACATTGGCGTTGTAGTGCGGTGTGGAGGGCAACGCTTCCGATTCATCCCACTCATCGCCAAAGATGGATGGTCGAATGTTGTTATTCCAAGGTACAAACCGGCTCAACTTGAAAATATTCACCGGTGCTGTAATAAACAGGCGGAAGGACAAATGTTTGCCAATCTTGGCGGCAGGCGTTAATTCAAGTACTGGCTTTAGTGGATTGTTTGCATGGAAGTTGTAAGCGAACTGATCCGCTGCAAATGCTGGTAGCTGCTTTAGTTTGCTGGCCACCGTCGCCAGATATAGAGCACGCTTTTGATCGTAGATCAAATTGCGATAATCATCCTTTTGAAAGCATGTTTCAGGCATTTCCAAGGCCACGTCCACTACAAGTTTGGGACCCAGCACAGTGCCCGTGGCTGCAGCGCCAATCAACTTTGGCTCTGAAGTCGGAGTCAGAAATTGAAAGTTAAATGATTTTTTGTGCAGATGTAGCGGCACTTCCAGTTGGCAGTTGTCAAGCAGACCATCCTTAAACTCATGTACCGCAGTCGTAAACGTCTCTATCCAGCTTTCAATGTAAGTGCTGTATTTTGTTTTGAGTTGAAGCTCCTCTAGCATCTCCTTCACTTGCAGCTTGAACAGATTAGAATGAAAGAGATTGCGGGTGTCGCGAATCTCCTTTATTTCTTCCAAAGTTGGAGGCTTTACATTCTCTTCCGTGTGCTTAAGTTTCTTTTTCTTCGCCTCGCTTTTGACGAACGGTACTTTACGTTTATGTGCTGTGATTGGCTTTGGCTCATCGAAGCCATCATCGCTACTAGTGCCAACAGCTTGATCACTGTCGCTATGTGAATCCGTTAATGAAGTCTGTACAGAAAAATGACTTTACTGTTGTGCAATTATTAAACTTTTTTATAGCTTACCTCCTTCTGACATTGATTGTTTTTAATTCGACCCATTTTATCTGCTCAATATAATTCCACAAAATAATCAAAGAGCGTCCCTAACAATAGCACGTGCTACTAGGTTTTGGTTTTAATAATACGGGAAAAATTGGCGCTTTTTTAATCACAACAAAGCTATCGATTATTTTTAAAAATTTTGAATTTATTACTCGTTTGGAGATTTTAAAGGTAATTTTACACTTAATCTTAATAACAATAACATAAATATAGAAATTTCAGATGCGCAGGTTCTTTGTAAGTTTTTAAATAATTCACTGAATACCACATATATGAAAATGTAAGTTGTTGACTGTATAGTTTCTCAACTGTCGATTAAAAACTATACAATTTTAAAAAGTTCTAAAGATAAGAAAAACCTAATTATAAATTATGATAAAATTGGGATTTATATCATTAAAATTGTTTTTGTTTATATTAGCCACAACTTAAAATCTGATATCGTTTTCTAACTTTAGAAATCGAATATATTTTATATCGATAGAAAACTGTAGTTGGTGTTAGCGATATCGATATCTTATTGATATGGTCCCAAAACCACACGATTAATAAAATACTAGAATCGGTCACTCTGGTGAGGAGTAGTATAATGCAGAACTCTTACACCTTTATATAGAGTAATTTCTTTTTTCTTTATATTTCGTTATTGTGTTCATTATAATAGTGTTTAAAAACTGCAATGACAAAATAAAAGTGATTAATTCCATTTGCGAAATGTATAGCTGATTGCGTCAGTATGTGGTGCATATACAGATGTTCTGTTTAACATTACATGTGTGACAAGACCATGGTAGTGATTAAACCCAATAGTAGATTGATATAAATTAAACGAATTTCAGCGTGCTTGACAAACGTCTGGCGAGTGTTTTTAAAGTTTTTCTCTTTCAAAACAAAGGCCGGCTAATTATTTTTGTGTACTGTTTAGTATATTTAGTATAATATAATAATTGCTTCCGAATGTTTTATAAAATAGTTAGTATTTTTCAATTACTTATGGACGGCCACATTGCAGTGTTCAATTTGTGCGTGTGTGTGTGCAAGTCAGGGGAAAAAGTCGCTCCATTTTTCTCGTGCTCTCTTGCGTACGTTTGGCTTTGCAAAACAATTTAATGGCGAATCGTATAAATATTAAAATAGTGTTTGCCTGAGTTTTACATAAGAAGCAAACACTGAAATCTGCAAAAGCGCGCCGCATAATAAGTGTAAAATCGCATGCATATACCCGACTGTAGTAATTGGCCAATCGCTGGTGTGTGTGTGTGAAACTGTGTATATGCGCGCGTGTGTGTAAGTGAGCAATGAAAAATGAGGCGTAGGTGAGAAATATGTGTGCAAAATTGTCGAAAAGGTACATAAAAAGTCCAAAACTAACAGTGAGGTAAACTTCAAGACCGTCAGTTACAAAAAATCAGAAGCGGCATAATTTAAATGATGCGTTGGCAATAAAAATTATGGCAAAATTCAAACAGTTAGCATTTGTGCACCATAAAGTCTTGTGGTCGTTGATGAGAAACTTTTGCGTGCCGAAAGCATTCAAAAACGCAATGGAATAAAAAATCACGTACAAATACAGTTTTCAATTTGTGTGGCCTTCTTATTTATAAAAAAACCCGAATGAACCATTTTTGCTCAGGTCATCCATATATTTATGTATAGCCAAAAGTCTACGCACTAATTGGCCTGATTATTGAGACACTTCCTTAACATCGCTTCCGCAGCGGTGGCCGGTGCGTGTCGTCTATTTGTTTGATATTGAACTATTAATAAAGGGTCAGGTGCATAGGCGGTACGTTAGCTTATGGACATTATATTTGTAATATTATTTAACTAATTTGATAGCAACATTTGCATTATTTGTACGGAATCATAAGCGCATGAAAATCAATGGGCAAATATATGCGACAGGCCCTTTCAGCTTCAGTGTGACCGTACTTAATAAAGAAAATATGCCAGAATATACTGTTTGTACATCTATAAAGTGAATTTTCGCACTCTTTAAGTGTATAATAATAATGTTAAATCATATTTTTCATATTATTCTGTCAAAGATTACTGAAAAAGGATATTAATTGAATTTAATTGGCCTTTATATATATATATATATATATATATATATATAATTATATATATAATTATATATATAATATATATATATATATATATATATATATATATATTTTGTTTTCATACGGTTATCCTGTTAAAAATGAAATTATTGCAGTTTTATTATTTTTATTATATATTTATTATTTAATTTTATAATTACAGCCTGTTATGACATGCAAATCGCAGGGTCGGCCTTAAGGTGTACATTCAACGGCGCTGCTATTCCACAAAAAAAGGCAATTAAACATATTTTCAATGTGTGCGTGCTCAATGACAGCTGACGATCGGTTAAATAGAATTTGACTAACTATAAGATAAAGAAAAGAGATCAAAGATAAATAAAAACTATTGTTGTTAGTTGTCGTTGGCGTAACATTAGCAAAATACGTCAACCATACTTTACAAAAATTGTTAGAAATTTGTGGGGAAAATGTGCAAAAGTGTGTTTGTTAAATTGTTAGCCAAAATTATTTGTTTACCTAGTACTACATAGAACGTAACTGCCTTTCTTTATCCAACAAGAGCAACAATAATAACAAAGATATTTCGACGCACCGGACAAGCAAACGAGCACTTAAATTAAGACAAACAGTAAATATATAATACATCTGCATTCAACAATAGCCAACAACAACAACATTTAACAAATCACCAAGGAAATGCTCAAATTGAATACTTAAATGTCAAGCGACAGCAGCACTGATGCCACAGCAACAAAAAACAAAACAACAAAAGCAACTGTAAGCTAACAGAAGAACAAGAGAAGGAGCAGCAGTAGGGCAGTTGCGAACTTGTGTCTAGAGCCGAGAGAGAGAAAATAAACATAGAGAGAAAGAGAGAGTTCCTCTCGCGAGAGAGAAAGAGGAGAGAAGAGGAGAAAGGAGTGCAACAGAGCGATTGCCTGCCGTATGCACTGGACGCATGCGCGGCATGCGTGGATGCTAAGTGAGTGTGTGCGTGTGCCAGTGTGTGCGTGCGTGTGTGTGTGTGTGCATGTGTGTGCACGCACAACATAGCAGCAGCAGCAAAAACAACTAACAACACCTTAAACAAACGATCAACAATAAAGTCCACACATTTAACAGTTTGAACGAAAATTTGGAGCAACAATTTCGCATTTCCACAACGATTTGGATCAATCTTTTCAACAATCAATAGCCTTTGCTATTAGTTTCATATATTATCTTTGAAAATTCTGTGGAAAGTAATTGCGTTTTTCATTCAAAATTGAGGGAAATTTGCTGAGTATTGCTTTCAGCAGTAACAGAACAACAACAGCAACAGCAGCAGCAGCAACATCAACATCAATAACAACAAGATGCAGCGACGCGAGCGTCAAACGAGGTGAGTGTTAAATCCAACTGATTTCATGAAAAATCTATGCCATCTATCAGCTATACGAATACCCTACCCCTCCGACCAACAGATTTGATTTCATTCAACGTTGGCTAAACATGGTTGTTAGGACATTGCGTCAGTGGTATGCAAAACTCTATCAAATCCCAATTGCTCTTAATCTTCGAAAATCGTGCGTAGATTTCCCATTTTTCATTTCATATTTATTCAATTCGTTTTGACACAACACTCAAACCTAAAAATAATCCCAAATCAATTGCAGCTAAAACACGATTTCAATTTCAAACATTGTTTATTCCTTTCAATTATCTGACAATACTTTCTTTTGGCTTACTCGGGACTAAATACGTATCTGAAGAAATTAAGAAAAACAAGCCAGTAAATCAATTATTTTTATTAAGAAACTCAATAACATTGCCTAGTGCGATCTTGAGCAATGTTGTCAATCTGTTGTTTGTTATCTCGAAACTTAAGTAACGCAAAAAATCGTTCATTTTAATGATTTATATATGTCTGTAAAAGTCAATACGTTGTTATCAGGTTGAGAAAGTCGAAAATAAATTGAAATGTTTGGCGATTAGATAATTCAGGACGAAAGTGAACTTATTTCTCGAATGCCGACGCAGAAAATGCCCTTTAGAATTTATGTTTATCGAATAATTTCGTCAAATAACTTTATTCGTATACACATATTCATTGTAATAAGTTACAAATAAGCAACTTTAAGAATCTACAATCTATTTGCATGATAGTCTGCCTACTTCTAATAGCTGTTGGAGGAGTGATTAATAGTCCAATATCTAGTTTTTCTTTTTCAAATATCGCAAAACTCTTATCTAAAGCTTGCCCTTTTCATTAACAAATTCTTTTGGGCTTTATCATTTCAATGCTAAATTAACAGTAAATATAGATTTCACACCAATAACAAAGGAAATCATTCAAAAAATCAGTTAAACTAGAACAGAAATTCCACAACCTAAATGACCCGTTCAAGATGAATTGATTATTAGCTGAAATGCGTCCGAAAACAACAGCAAGAATTAACAGTTGCGATCGATAATAATAAAATAAGAGACTTTATTTATAAATGTTTGGCAATCCGTGACGTCTTCTCGCCAGGGAAATTTACCAAAAACCCAAAAGCTACCTGTATTCTCAGCGAACTCTTCTACAAATATATGTAGTATGCGAATTTGTATAAGACACGTATAAGTGTCTATGTTCTCTTCTAGTTTATCGATGGCCAAGAGAAAAAGTCCAACTATTGTGTGTTTGTACGTATAGTGTACATACAGACATAGATACACTATGAATTTTTGTTTTATTTTTAGCCAATCGCATTTCTATTTAAACATTTGTATTTTATTTGATTCTGTTTTCGACATCGCTTGTTGCGGTTTGGTTTGGGCTGACCACTTCTTGTAATGCGATTCCTTGGCAGACATTCGTTCTCTGAAGGCTTGAATGAAATGGCATTTCATTCTATGAGGAAGCGGAAAGTTAAGTTCAAACACCCACATAAGCATGCCTGCCCTGCATAGCTATGTAGATCTCGCTCCTCGGCCTCTCGGAATATGTGAACGAATTTCAGTTGTTGTCATTTCCTTTACCTTGTGGCGGGTCTATTGACATTTCTAGGTTGCCGCTGGCTTAGTGTCTGTTTCTTTGTTTACAGTTTTTGCCTTCTATTTTTATTTTTGTTTTTTATTATTATTATGTTTATTCCGTAAGCCTTGTTTGCTGTCTGCATTTGAAAACATTTTCTTGTTGGCTTTTCATGATAATATAATTTTGTATTGGCCTTTCCCTCGACCGAAGACTGAAAACTAATGTTTCTATATTTTTGTATTCGGCTCACCGGGACTAATAACTAAGCGAGAACAATGAGACCTTGGGGTATAATTACTCGTGTAACTTTATGGCTTCAAGTGGCTAGAATAAAAATTAATTGTAAACATTTTGGTCATTTTGGACATATGAATTGAATTCTGTGCCGAGGCAATTTAAAGAAACTTAAAATTATTAAAGACGGTCTTCCCATAGTTTTTTGATATTGTCTTTATTTTGGGCTTCGATTTTAGTTTGATATGAAAAACAGAAGAGAATTGGTAATGTCGAGTGAATGTGGGATATTGACTATTCAAGGTAAATACTGGCTCAACAAGGATAAAGTACAATTAAACAACTAGAGAAATGTATTTTTATTTAATAAAAACATTATATTTGTGTACAATATGAACAGCTGCTGCATTGTGAAATGCAAACACGAAAACAAAACATGTCAAACGCAATCAGCCAATAGCATCAACTGTGTAAACGCAACGGCGGGTTATACGTTTCTACGTCCATAGCCAATGCCTGCAGCAGGTCTAGAGACTAGCGTGATGTTCATAATTAATTGATTAAATATTGAAATATCGCTCCAAAGTGATTTAACCTTCAATTGAAATTTTATGGCATGCATACTGCACTGCATATATGCTGCAATTATCGGAAAAAGTCGTTGAGAACGTTGGCAACTCTGCGCCCTTTACGAGTTGTGACCTTAAGCAGAACGAGAGAAAAGAGAGTGAGAGAGAGCGAGAGCGGTGGAATTGGAGAGATAACACTCGAATTAGTGTATATGCGTGTGGGTTGTATTAATTGAAATGAAATTTATGCTAAAAATAAAATTAATGCCAAAGTAAAACCAGTTGCTTTGCTGGCTGTTAATAATTAAGATCACGGCTCACAGCGCGAAAGATGAGCGGCATTCAAGCAAAATAAATCCGAAGCGCAAATGACCCTAGACAAGGCTTTCCTGACGGCTGTGGGGTTCATTAAATTGAAATTGTTCTTGAACTCAACTTTGGCCGTCGCATCGTGAGTGCCTTTTGGCAAGTGACTTACTTGATACGGCTGCAGCCAACAGCAAACATGGCGGAAAAACTGAGAACTGAGAAGTGTGAAAGAGCTAGGAGAGAGAGAGGGAGAGCGAGAGAGAGAGAGAACTGAAAACTTGACCAACTTGTTAGCGCTTCTAATGAGTCAACGTCCATGTCTACGTCGACGTGATGGCAGAGCAAGTGCCAGACGATGATAAAGATGACGACGCAGTCCAACACAACTAGAGCGGCAGTGCCAGCTGCAAGGAGTATTTAAAACTTTTTCAAAAGTACTTGGCATTTGCTTTGCACTTGAATTCTCTATCGCACTCGAAAGAGAATTGCAAAACTGAGAATCAAACTGCGAGTGCTGAAACTCTATTATAATGAGTAGTCCGCCAGAAAGGTATTGCTGCTAAGGAATCGGCAAAATATACGCAACACTTTTAATTCTATTAGAGAGCAGACCCGCTAGCTAAGGGAGGCAGCAGTAAAAGATATTCACACACGCTGGTCAACTATTATTTTATGGGCTCAGAATGTAGTTCGTCTTAAGCTTATTTAAAATTTGGTTTTAGCAATTTAGATTAAATGCTAAGGTTTTGTTAATGAGCCAAAGAAAATACATGTGAGTTTTATCAGTGTAATTGCTTGAAATACCATTCTATTGATATGGATTTAGTCATCGTTTTTAAACGGCTCACAGCTATAAAGATTAGTTGCATTTATCAGGAACTGGGATTTTATAGACATCTTTGACGTTGGTGTTTATTTGCTGCATTACTCATGGGAACCCTGAACCTATTTAAATACGTTCGGTACAAAGAGACGACATATTGACGTTCTGTTTCAGTATGCATTCGGCGCTGTTAATAAACACTGGCTAGTTGACTGGCTGGCTGGATGACTGGTTAGCTGTCTGGCTGGCTGTCAACGCCTCGGGGCGTCCCCAAGCAGTTGTCAGTAATGAACAGCTTATATCTGCCAGTCACTTGACACTGCCATTTGCCGCTTGCCATTCACAGCGAAGTGTCGTCTGTTAAACAGCTTATCACTGTAGACTGTCAAGGATTTAGTTTTGCTGCTCCTGGGCGTTGCAAGCGTTCACGGACATGTCAACCTGATTTAATGGGACGGTAGATTTGATACTCTTTCCCCTTTTAAAGTTCTTTCAATAACAGAAGCAATAAACGTTAACTATTTACTCGCATCTATTTATCCTTTAAATACGCATACAATTAGCGCGTTTATTCAGCTTTACTTGCATGACAAACTTGAATGTCATTTATAATCTCATCAAGGGCTTTCGATATCTTTTTCATGAGTCACATTTGCGATGCCTGCGTCGCTGGACTTTGGCATTGTTTCTATGCCTAAGCATTCTCACAGCTGTATATATATAAATATATATATATATATATATATATAAGTGTATGAGTGTGTGTGCCTGTGCCAGTGTTTGTGCGCCACTGTTTTGTTGGCTGGTCGTTAAATCCCATCGATTTGTTTGACTGTCTCTTTACTATGCACCTTTTGCTCTCATTGCCTCCATTTAGTTGGTTCTGTCCTGCTCGCGCCCATACAGCTTTTCGCTTCAAGCATGACTGGCATCTAATTTAATTAGATGAAAATTTCACACTATTGGTTTTTCGTCATCGTCTTCTTCTGCTTCATCTAGTTCTGCTGACGTCTGCTATGCTCTTGTTGTCTATTATTGATGTATACATTATTTTTATACATTCGCTTAACTCTAAAGCTTTTCACTGCTGCCCAGTTTGACAGGTACTTCTTCTTACACATCTTTCCAAGGTATTTATCATTCCATACCACCACCCACTGGCTGGCTACTCGTTACTCACTTAATTATCTATATCCTCATTTGATTTCCCTACTATGCAGTTGGCTTGTCGACTGATGCACTTAAACCTCATCATTCGTCGTATATGTACATAAACACATGTATGTAAATATCAGTCTGTCTCTTTCTGGCTGCATAGCAGTATCATCTGTTCCTTATGTTTTTATTGAACATCAAAATCTTATGACATTTAGCATGTTTTTTTTTGTTGCTGTTTCTTCGTGCACCCACGCAAATTATCACGCATTTCGAAAGAGAGCGGGAGT